AGCATACATATATACACCCTGATTGGCAACTACCTGTGATACCATAGCAACAGGCAGGCAACACCTTTGTAAGCACCTAGGATATCATAGCAACAGCCAAACAATACCTTAGTAACCACCTAGGATACCATAGCAATGGCCTAGCAACACCTTAGCAACCACCTGAAATATCATATCAGTGCCTTAGCAACACCTTATTGACAGCCAGGATTTCATAGCAATAGCCTTGCACACCCTGGCAACCTGGGATGCCATAGCAATGGCCTAGAAACATATTAGCGATTTTGGTATATGATACTGTAACATCTTAGCAACCACCTAGGATTTCATAGCAACTGCCAACTTTTGTAAGCTTTCCCTTTTGTAAGCAAACTGATATTATTGTGTCTTTTATGTTTAGTTGCCAACATGTTAAAATATCTAATCACAATGATAATAATTTCACAACTACCATATTCACATTCTAACTCCTGAAAAAGGTCACAAGTTGAGAAACCAGTAAAGGGACTGAAGGCTTGGTCCCCCAGGTGAAATTTGGTTTTAACATGAAAACAAAGCATTCTTGTGCACTCTGAGAATTAAATACAAGAAAACAAGTAAATGCTGTAAATAAAATTCAGTTCAACAACTATACCATGACAAAAAAACTGTACTATTTTCCAAGTATTTAGATTTATTTGTTATAAAATTTTGCTTCCTATATCAAGATCAGAAGATCATTGTGTATGAAACTGGTACAGTAACCTTTTTGAGACCTCAGTTGTTATAAATAGAGGCCATTCTAACAACTCTTGACTGGTCATCTGTCTGCATATACTGACTCTGTAAAACGTGTGGTGCTTGGGCCCAGATAACTGCAACTTGCACTGTAATTTGTAGATGGTCACTTAGCTCTCACTCTACAGATCAACATGTTCTGCATGAATATCAACAAAGTAGTAGTTGATATTCTTCTTTGTGATCAATGATCATTTTCACATACTGACCTTTTTGCACTCACCATTCAAAGACATTCAAGGAGGAAATCATATAAGAAAAAATTAAACCAACTTTACTGGTCACTAAACTTTGCTCTTGTTTTACCTTTCGGTTTCTTTCTGTACTGAGAAGGTTAAGGCGCTGAATTCCAGTAACTTAAAGATAATGTTATACAGCCCTGGCAGCAATCCTAAAACCTTTCAATCAAAATGTTGTAATATAAAAATAAAACACTGTATCTGTATATAAATGACCATGATCCGCTGGGGTTAAAGAGTTAAGCTGCATGGCTTGGTGTAGCAGTGCTGAGTCCTGTTTGATTCTGTCTCCATTCAAGATAATGATATATACAGACCAGTATGAATCATATACATATATATGACCCACATTATTATGACCTAAATGTGTAAATGAAGCTGGCCTATTTATAAGCTGAATACACTGGATGTCTTTAGCCTTCGTTACATTTGCACTGTGTCTTTTGTCCTGCTTAAAGCGCACTGACACATGCTGACAATGTTCACTACTGCCAACCCAGGAAAATGTCATCTGCGCTCTATAGTGAATGCCATCTATGCTGTATAGTGAATGCTGCTGTCCACAGAATGAACACTATATCTTACCTCTAGCATAGCGTGACCACAGAACAGACCTAATCATACAGTACTGTTGGTGGACACTGTTTATCCTTGTTTCTTTGGTATGACTGAGCATGAGAAGAAGAGACAGAGACAAGGCAACCCTGCGTCATGTTTCAGTCCAATAGTTCACTTTAATAAGAGGCCACAAATACACTTGGCAAAGCTCATCTCTCCCAGTCGGTTTGATAATGAAATGTCTTGCAGTCTAATTTATGTGATGATATTCACACCCTCTTGATCTGAATAGCGCAGGAAATTAAACAAGGCCACAGCAGTGAGATTACTGATAGAGGCTCATGTTATGCCTGAACCTTTGATATTAGATATTAGTTATTGTTAGTTTGTGAATCAGTCATGATGGTTCCACTCCACCTTTACTGAGTATACTGAGTGTAAAAGGAAATTAATTTAGTATAATACAAAATGATATAGTATATAGTATATAAATGTGTGTATCGCTGCTGTCGGAACAAAATCTCGTATCCCAAAATGATAACTTTACAGGAGAGGGAAAAACCTTCTTTACTTTCAATGTAAGTCAATGGAACCAGACTTTTTCCCCAAGTCATTTTTGGCCATTTCTGTTGATCCATTCATTATGAAATTTATAAACAATGTAAAGGGTAATAGGCATTTTCAAAAACTAAAAAAAAACACCAAAAAAGAAAATGGTTTTGTCCCAAGAGCAGTGATACACACGTATATATAAATATATATATATATATATATATATATATATATATATATATATACTGTATACCATAATATAGAATTTTATACTATGCTAAATCTTTTCACTTGATTTTACACACAGTATACTTAGTAAAAGTGGAGTGGAGCCAAAATGGTTCTATGCAAATTTTATTCAACCCTGGAAAATATTTCTGTATATAACTATATATAGACTGTATATGCAGACAGATTAATCATATTTTAAAACATAAACAGGTGAATAACATGAACTGTCTCAATACTGAATTGGACTAATTTTAAAGTAGCCCACATTGTCTGTTCTGTCTAACAGGAGCAGCTCATGTTATCGGCCTCTGGAAACTGTTAAATGGTTTAAGTACCACAGAACTTTTTTAGATGATAAGCTCGGTTTTATTGAGGGCACAGATAATATTTTTGAGTGAGCTGATCAGAGATTGTTTTTAATTAGGAGACTTAAACTTTTTGGAGTCAGTAAAAACATACTTGAAAAGGCCTACATTGATTTGGTGTTTTTAATATTTCAACTTGATTGGGGGACTTAACTGCCAGAGCAAAAAAGAGGCCTGCCAAGAGCTTTAGAATGGCTGGCAAGCTTGTAAGTAGGCAGCAGTAGCTGCTGGATGAGCTGCACAGGGCATCCTCTTCACAATGAATCTGAGCTGTTACCTGTGGGACGACGCGTTAGGATGCCCATAACTAAAAAAAACCTTTAATAGAAATCTTTTATTCCTGCTGCAGTTAATCTCCTGAATGATTCTTAATTATTCTTAGCATATAACAATTGAGTGTTTGTACCTGTTCTTTATGTTGTGTTATGATAGAGCAAGAACCAAAACAAATTTCCAACATTGTTGAACAATAAAGTTGTTTTCTGTTGTATTCAGCTCTCTCTGTGCTTTATCGGAGGGATTGCTGCCAGTGCTGCTACATCCTTGGAAAATGAATATCAGCTGATTTTATCAGTTAAAAGACTCTCGATTAGTAAGATTCCCTCTCTTTCCCCCGCATTCCAGACCACATTAGCTAGAGGCTAAGATTCATGGCATCTTATTTGTAGGTGTGGGGAGGCACTGCGGCATCAGGGCCAAAAACACTGATCACTGACTTGAAAAATGAACTGATTTCTTTGTCGCCCTCTTGTGGTTGAAAGAAGGGGGGTCATGTAAATGGGTGTGAGCTATTAGATGTTGTCTATAAGGGGAGCTTTGTGTGTATATATAAAGACATTACTAATTGCTGTGTTCATTTGATTTTAGGCTTGATTTGGTGCCTTGATAGAGGCAGCACAGAGGCAGTTACCTACGTTACCAGAGAGATCTATCTGTGCAAGGCAGTAAAATAGCTGCAAAGCTCATCAGTACTACAGTTTCACATGTATGCAAATTTTGGGTCACTGTGCTTTTTGCAGCATTAGCTTTTGCGTCATACCCATTTAAAGAATCTCCTTGTATTCCCTAAGCTTTTAGGTAAGGTGTGTTGTGAGTATATGATGTGGTATATTTATATTTAAGTGGTTCTTGAATATTTCACTTAATTTACATATGAGATTTGTCTATAAACAGTTGTTCTTGCCTGTGCCGTGTTGGAATGTCCTGGTTAGATAAGCTTTGTGAGAAGTTCAGCGATCCAAGTTTGTTTTGTCATAAACGTTCAGTGCAACTTTACGTAAGATGATTGTAACATGGTTTATTTGACTGTGGCATTTTTAAATTATTTTTGAACATATTCTTCTTTGCTGAATGCTTTTTGTTTTCCCTGGTGTTCAGTGACCATGTGGCCTTCCAGGAAAGCCCTTCTCTAATCTCATCCCTGCTTTACTACAACAAGAAAATCATATTACTGCCTGTGGCTGCATGACCTATAATCACGCTCACTCACTGACAGACACACAAATCTGGCTTACAGGCACAGAAATATATCACTATGGGGTTACATGAACCTGATGTTTAAAAAAAAGAGCTGATATGTTCAGACCTCATCTCATATTTCAACCCCTAAAGGCCCAGTCACACTAGAGTTGCAAGCGAAATTTCTTAAGTGAAAATACATGAATTTTAGTGGAATTCTTGATCAATTTTGTGTGTGAAACTTTAGCTTTGGTGAATTTTGGCATGAAAATGTGCCTAATAATGTTATTGCCTTGGCTGTGTTGACTTCTGACTAGAGCTGTTTAGTTCCAGAAATTGTGTAGTCAACTACAGTTCCAAGTGATGGAAATTGTTGGAGTTGATTTAAAGACACTAAGACATATAGAAGGACATCTGGCAAAAATAAAGATCAAAAAATTTGACCGTAGCAAGGAAATTTGGAGAGCTAATGCTAGAGCTATCTAACCTGACTCTCTTCTGTCAGCTCCTTTAGATGGGTAGATGTTTCAGCACTGCCAATGTTGTTAGACTGTAAGCCAGTTTTTTATTACGTTACATTGTACTTGATCTAAACTAAAATTCAGCTGGACGATTGATGTGTCAATTATGGAAGAATATAATCCAGTTGATTTTTTCCTCCTCCTGTAAAGTTACCATTCTGGAGATACAAGGTTTTATCCCGACAACAGCGATATGTTTTGATCATAAACATCTTATGAGTTGGAGCCCAACCAATAAACTCACTCAAAATGAACACATTCTCACTTTTTCTTTCTTTCTCACCCTCTCCCTCTCTCAGACTAACATAGGCTCCATCCTGGCAGCGGTGAACCCCTATAAGCAGATTTCGGGGCTGTATGATCTGTCTGCAGTGGAGTTATACAGTCGGCATCATCTGGGGGAGCTCCCACCTCATATCTTTGCAGTGGCCAATGAGAGCTACCGCTGTCTGTGGAAGAGACACGACAGCCAATGCGTACTCATCAGGTACAGCTTCTCTGGAGTACTCACACTCACGCACACTTCTCTGGAGTACTCACACACACACACACACACACACTTCTCTGCAGTACTCACACACACACACTTTTCTGGAGTACTCACACACACACACACTTCTCTGGAGTACTCACACACACACACTTTTCTGGAGTACTCACACACACACACATACTTCTCTGGAGTACTCACACACACACACACACACTTCTCTGGAGTACTCACAAACACACACTTCTCTGGAGTACTCACACACACACACATACTTCTCTGGAGTACTCACACACACACACATACTTCTCTGGAGTACTCACACACACACACACACTTCTCTGGAGTACTCACAAACACACACTTCTCTGGAGTACTCACACACACACACATACTTCTCTGGAGTACTCACACACACACACACTTCTCTGGAGTACTCACACACACACACTTCTCTGGAGTACTCACACACACACACACTTCTCTGGAGTACTCACACACACACATACTTCTCTGGAGTACTCACACACACACACACACACACACACACACTTCTCTGGAGTAATCACACACACACACACTTCACTGGAGTACACACACACACGCACACACTTCTCTGGAATACTCACACACACACACATACAGAGATACACAGTTTTTATAACCTGGTAGGACGCAGGGCCATGCACTTATCTCGTGCTGCATATACCGTACCTGAGGGCACCCCAGTCAAATTTTGTTTTGTTTTTGAAGAAAAGAAGATAGCACATCCTCTACAGAGAACACACTTCTTCACATTTTAATACACAATTACTGTTTAGTTGCTAAATTTAATATATTGGTAAAACATAAAATGTGGCCTGGGCAAAAATTATGGCACATTTTATATTTTACGTTTTCCTTTTTGTATAATATTTGAAATTCAGCAAATAAACAGTAATAGTGCACGAGATTTTGCATTACAATAGAGACTGTGCATTGAAATTTGCTAAAATTCCATATTTATTTTTGAGGTGTTCAGACGTGTGTGTGTGTGTGTGCCTATGTATACATATGTGTGTATATATATATATATATATATATATATATATATACATATACACATATATATATATATACATTTTTGTCTTTTTTAATGCCAGCACTTTTACTTTGTGTGATAACACATAATAAATATTCCAAAAAATGCTCCATAATTCCTTAGAACAAAGTGTTTTTACTTTAACTTACATTAAATGTTAAGAAAGTTGTTTTGCCATTTTGTAGATTTGAAGTTTATGTCCTAGTAGAACCAAAATGTCTTAGTACCTATATGTAATAGAAACATGTCCTATATGTATTGCATACTGTGCTGTAAGTCTTAGGCACCTGAGAAAATATATACAGCTGTTTGTCTGGGCAGTAAGCATTTATTTGATAAAAAATAATAACATTAGAATAAATACAAATAAACAATGCATTGTGATTGATGTGTGGAAGTGTATTAGCATAACCATTTCCAAAGCTCTTCTCAAGGAAGCACCATATTACCAGTTACCATCCACTACCTAGTTTATCTAATCAGTCCTTCATTAAATTAAATCAGGTGCTGCTGATGGATTTTAACAAATCCATGCGATGGCAGGAGTGCACCGAGAAGTTAGGAACCAAACCTGTGTTCTTCTAACTATATTTTTATAACCAATATATTAATAACTTTAATAAAAAACGTGCAGAAACAGCCTTTCTACTAAGATAAATTTCAGTTTAAACTTTACATTTTCTTGAGGTCCTAAGACTTTTGCGTAGTACTGTTTGTACCTGTATGTAATAGTAATTTTCGACACCTGAACCTAAACCAAACCAAGTCCTAACCTTAACCTCAGTAACCAAAAAGAAATGATTTTGCCTTTTCAGTTTTACAAAACCACAACATGTAAATTCTGTAAAAAAAAGTCAAGACCATTTTGTTCATCCAGCTTTGTAGGTCACCCCTGTTTTTTTGTCTTGAAAAAGTATGAAAACAATCACATTCTCTTTCTTTTACTGTGACTAATGGCCCAAACACATGGTGCACTGCTGTCATGATATCCGGCCACGCAGTACTACTGTTGCAGAAGTTTACGCTACGCAAATGATCATCCTGATCAATTACAGATGTTTCTTGGATTATAAAAGCATCCACATGATCCATCAACTCTAAATCACTAGGTGAGGCCAATTTTCAACCAGGTCACATGAAAGGTTTGCTGGTGTGGTTTTAGAATATTGCAATGTACATTATAATCACAGAACGAACCAACATCATTGCAATTGATATTTTGTCCATATTCTGTAGCACTGGTTCATTGGCTCATAGATGCTTGGATGCTCCCAGTTGTTTTTAGCAAGACTGTTTGCTAAAATAGATGTTTGGCTAGATTCTGTGATCTCAGAAAGTGGTAACTCAATCTAATAAAAGTTTTTTGCAGTGCTAATCTTATTAGCACCAAGGCCTTAACGCTAAGTTTCATTACTTTTGCCTGAGAGAACCTGCAGGCCACTATCAGCTTTCTCAGCATCGCATTGGATTAAAACACAGGCCAAATAACACAAATGTCAGCTAAATGTCAGTGGTGTGTGTGTGTGTGTGTGTGTGTGTGTGTGTGTGTGTGTGTGTGTGTTTCTGCAGTGGAGAGAGTGGAGCTGGAAAAACAGAGAGCACTAAACTACTGCTGCAGTTCCTGTCTGTCATGAGCCAAAATTCAGCTGGGACTCCGCCCTCAGAGAAGACCACACGTGTCGAGCAAGCCATCGTACAGAGCAGGTCATCACACACACACAGAACACACATAAAAGCACATACGCCTACACATATTATTCCTTTGGCTTTTCCCTTCTTTACACAAGTGGATTATCTTACAGCTAATCACAACCAGAAATATTTCCTGAAACATTAGTAACCATTTTGACTGGAAAACTAAAGGGTGGTCTCTGACTTTTGCACAGTATTGTATACTTGCTTGTGCATATTTGTGGAGAAGTCAAGACCTAGTGTTGTAGTACCTGAGTCCGATCTTGGTCTCAAGACTGTGAGATTACTGGACTCTGTCTTGTCTTGGTCTCGGGGTAAGGTTAAACAGCCAAGTGCACTGCCTCTGTATGAGGAAATTAGAATCTGAACTTTTTTCTATTATTATTGAATATCAATAAACCTTCATACAGAATCAAACAGATCTCTATATGTCTAAATAGAATCTGTTTGCTGCTGATTGAGGGTCTAATTGATTCTTTCCATGATAATTTAGCTGGATATTACTTGTTTGTTGATGTTGATTGGTTTCGACAGTCAAACATCCACTGAGGGCAGATCAGAATGTTATTATTACTGTGTTTTCATTTAACAATAAAAATGCGTGTATGTTTGGTTTATATTCAGTTGACTTTAGGTAGTGATTCTGAATGCATGAACATCAGTTACTTCCACAAGTTGCAATGTTGGACTAAGACTATAATATCAGAATAATTCATAATATGTTTGGCCTATATGTATATTAATGTTATATATATATTATTTATTAATATGTATCATAATTGACTAATAAGGTCATAATTGACACATATAGTGAGTGATAACTACAACTGAATTTCAGATTTTCACTTTCTCTTTCTTTTTTCTATTTTTATATTCTGAAAAAATGTTAATCTGGCCTTAGTCTCCGTCTCGTCACTCCTGATCTTGGCCTCGACTCAGACTCCACTGCTGCAGAGTCTTGGTCTTGACTTGATGTGTCCAGGTCTCTGCTTTGACTTGAACTCACAGTGACCCTGGCTGTGACTGAGATGGAATAGGGGCACTTTTCTCATAGTATGCAAATTGTCATGACATTCCATAGATTTAAAAGGCATTACTGTCTTCTACCATGTACTCATAATTTCTAGTGAAATCTACATCAGATCACAAGATCAGCTGAAGATCTACCAGTTAGGTTACGTTGTGAGTCTCTTGTTCCTAGGCAACAGGCAGAGGCTGGTTATTGAACATTCACAGTGGCCACTGAGCCATTAAATACTGAACTTATCAGACACTCTTGTCTCACTGGAGCAAACAAAAACAGCATTATTAAAAAGGCATTTACTCTCTGCTTCTCATCATAGAGCAAAAACACTGACTGGTAAATGCTGTAGGTTACTGCAGTCATGGACTATTAAGTGCAGCTGTGTTGCACTTTTCAAAACATTGGACTCAAATCTGCAACCAGGAAATAGGAAGCAACTTCAGCCTCACTCGAGCTACTAATGTTAGTTTGTTTTTACGACTAGTAAATACTGATGAAGATAGATAATGCGAAAATGTCTAAATTAATTTACTGTTTTAACCGCTAAAATAAATAGACCCCCACCATAATAGCACAGTATCAAAGAGGGAGTAGGGTTCTGTTTCAGCCAGTCTTCATGAATGTTTCATTTCTGTTTTCTCCTTTTTCTTTTCACAGTCCCATCATGGAGGCATTTGGGAATGCCAAAACTGTTTACAACAACAACTCTAGTCGCTTTGGCAAATTCATCCAGCTACATTTTTCTCAGAGTGGCAACATCCAAGGAGGCTGCATTGTCGACTGTATCCTTACATCTTGTACCAGAGAAACATTGTCCTTGATGTGTTTGAAATCTTTCAAAGTGCATTATGTGTAGAGAATACAGCAGAGTTTCGAACATAGCCACTCTCTCTATGGTAAGGTAGTAGATTATTATTATTATTATTACTATTATTATTATTATTATTATTATTAAATTGCGGTACAGTGAGCTTTTGACTTTCTTTTTCAAGCAGGTAACACAACACCGTTGTACAGTGTGATTGTAACACAACACTGGAAATCACTGGCGACACTAGTGATAATTAGTATTAAGGTAGCGATAAACAGAAACCACACATAAGGCAAAGGTTTTTGCATTAAAAGCTGTTATATTAGAATAGTTTCAGTATTTTATAACAAAAAGTTTAAATGTTGATGAAAATACAATGTTGGGCGACTGAACGTTCTTGTCTTTGTGGAAAAAATGTTTGGGAGCAATGGAGATTGTTATTAATAACAACATATTATTGATTGAAAATGTGTATTTCATCATATTTTATGGTGTTGATTTTATATAAGCAATAAGCTACTTGGTGCTGTGAGTTACAGGCTTCTTGCCCTTATTTGTGATGAAATCACTGGGTGACAATTTACTGGAAGCCTGCTATAGAACACTGACATAACCGTGCCATAAACTTGTCATGGCAGATGCTGTTCAGCATTCTCTACAGAGAACACAGTTCTGCACACGTTAATGCACAATTGTTGTTTATTCGCTGAATTTAACACATTGGAAAATAACATAAAATGTAGCTAGTGCAGAAGCTTTGGCATGTTTTATGCTTTCTTTTTATTTTAAATTGCTCAGAACTTTAATAGAAATTATGCACTAAAATTTGCATAAAATGCCATATTTAAGTGTGTACTCTGTAGAGAATGTGTTAACTTCACTTGGAATATTAATAAAACATAATTTTTCCTAACTTTTGCACACAACTGTATATTACTGAGGATCATGAAATACATTAGATTGTTTTAACATTTGCAATATTGCCAAATATTGATCAGTTGCCTTACGAATTTAAATCGCACACTGAAAAAGTTATGCATTGAATTTACTCAATTCAAACACGTACATCATTTCCACAGTAATACAGTATATTGAAGGTACAACTTATTCCACGCTTTAGGTCCTTATTTTCCTTGACTCTTCCACTTCAGATTTACTCGAAAAGGTAAAAAACAGTCTATGCTGTGTCCTTAATGTGTCAGGGGAGGATCTTTTACCTTCTATATGGTCTCATAAAAATGTCTTTCTGCTCTTCCTGAGAAGTGGTTCTGAGGGTCTTGTTAAAAGCCAAAACCATTCCACCATTTTGAGTGGATGAGTCTCTGTGCTGGTTTATGTTCCAGAACCGTGTGGTGAGACAGAATCCAGGAGAGAGAAACTATCACATCTTCTACGCTTTACTAGCCGGAGCAGATAAAGCGCAGAAAGGTGAATAAACAAACCCACACTCATACACGTATGTAGTGCAGTCTGTATGTAATTCATGCAGTTACTTATGCGTTTACCATTAGGCATCTAGAGGTATTTACATTTCTAAGTCATTCATCGCTAAATATTTAAATGTGCAAATAAATATTGAAATTTAATTATGTAGTTATATTATGAATTACATTGTTACATAATGAAGTACATTTACATTTGGTTTGATATCAAATATGTAAGGAATGTTTTCCTTCCGCAAAACAACACTGCATGAACAGCATTAGCTTTTCATCAGATTCAATTCATAATAAAACATCTCTACAAATATTGTACAGATTGAATGTGTAGAATCCTGCCTTTCAGTAGAGTTTCTCTGCTTGTTGTAGTGAGCTACGAGTGAGAAATATTTAAAGAGGAAATTTATAAATCTGAAACAAGTTGTGTTTTTTTGTGACTCTTTTGCCTTACACCACCTTACAAGCTCATCCATGAATAGCTTTTAAAATAAGGTTTTATGCCAAAATCTATCAACTATTGCCAAATAATGTCCCAGACATCAGACAATGTATTCATATTCCATTTCATGTAATAACTTTTTGTGAGGGAGCTTTTAGAAATATTAAATGCTCTGGATGTCTGGTTCCTATCACCACCACTGTGAACAATTCTGACTTCTGTCTAGAACAAGTCTAGAATGACGCATTTCACATCAAACCACTCTGACTGGCTTTATTTACTTACTTACTTAAGCACTTAATTATGCAGATTTTTTAAACAGTAAGCGTTAACCTAATAGCCACTGGTTCATTTCAAATCCAATTTGAATTTGATTACGGAGCCACAACAATGAGAATTACATCTCTGTCTAATTACTTACATACTGTAAATTGAGGAACTATACATACTTACGCACATCATGTGACTGTATTCTTTCTGTGCAGAAACATATTTCCTGGCAGACCCACCTGACTCATTTCATTACCTGAGCCAGTCGGGCTGTGTGAAGGACAGGAGTCTGAATGAAAAGAAGCTCTATGACAGTGTCATGGTAAGACAGCTAACCGCCACAGTGAGAGGTTTTGTGATTTCTGACACTGCGAGTTTGCTCTTTGACTTCCAGTGTCACTGTATGGCAGTAGCCCTGTTGCAGTAGCACTACAGACTCGAGCTGTACCCCAAGTAAAACTGACACCCATCACTCTGTCTCTGTCTGTTTGCAGGAGGCACTGAAGGTGCTGGAGTTTACAGAGGAGGAGATCAGAGACATGTTCAAGCTGCTGTCTGGAGTTCTGCAGCTAGGCAACATTGAGTTCATGACAGCAGGGGGTGCTCAAATCACCACCAAGCAAGGTGGGTGCAGTAAATAAAAACATGGCCATATGCATAGGCATCAACCCATACAATTTTCCTGAATGAAATATCCAGTGTGTCCCAATTCAGAGGCTGGATCATTTGAAGGATGCAGTCTATGAAGGCGTGTCCTTTGAAGGCTGCTTAAACCCGCAAAGCCTGAACCGAAATGAGACGGTCTGCCCTTACGGCGGATTTTCTGTTTGCGTCACAGCGCTGCTGTTCCTGCCCTTACCATTGCACCATGAAACATCGCTCTTGTCAAGTTCTTTTTAAATTCTTTGAAGATGGAGCCAGAAACTTTGATTTTAGACGTTTATTTTTTAATTTATTTGAGCTAGAGATGCTTCACTGCCGGCTACTGATGAGATTGTTGTTTTTGTTTTTTTGTTTTTTTTTTACATTTGTATCGTTAGCCATTCGCCTCAGTTTAAACCCAATACTTATATTCAAAAGTGTACTCTTCGCTTCTCTGTTGACGCCACCATGTTCTCGAATCCTTGCCGGCATGCAATAAACCTCGGGATATGTTGGCTGGCGAATGATGCATCCTTTGGATCCTTCGCTGCCATGGAAAAGAAGGACACATTTCTCGGCCACATATAAAGGAGCCTTTGAAATGGGACATCCTAGTCGCACCACTGTGACGCAATCAGCCTTTGAATGCAGCCTCCGAAAGACGCAGCCCCCAAATTGGGACACACTGATGGTTTTGTCACAGTTTTAGTGGTGCAAGGCCATACAAGACTGGGATACAGGAAATCTAGCCCAGTGCTGGCCTGTAATTCTGTCACGCTCTGAAGTGTTTTTGTTTAAGACTTATTAGCGTTAAGGTAATCTGATCAGACTGCAGGTGCTGTGGTAGTACATGGACAAAACAAATATAGCTTTATGTGAGAAGCGAGTCATCAGAGACAAGAATCTAATTGTAAAAACGTTAAAGTTTCCATGTCTGGAGTGTAACTTACTTTAAAGTGCATTAGCAAAGATACATTTGGTTCCTTATCTCACCTGGCAGATAAAACTATATCCTCAGAGACTTTTTGTTTTGGTCTGACTGCCTTTGATTGTATTTGTGTTTAGCCTGGGCAACAGGTCAATGTAATTGGATAATGTTGATGATTAACAAGTAACCTGATGACAATGCTTAAAAGGTGATAATTGCTGTGAGGAAATGGACAGACGACTAGAGAGGACTAATTTACCTTTAAAGAGTTATTTAATTTGCTATTTCCACAGTGCCTGGTGTAAGTTTTTTTCTGTTTACAAACGAAAGAGAGAGAGAGAGAGAGAGAGGTTGGTTAGAAGCTGCCTGTTAGTTCTCTCTGCTATGCACTTTAATGCTAGCTTTACCTACCACACAGATCTTCCACTTCTATTCATGTTATTTTAAGTTTCAAAAATAAATGCAGATGTGCTTTGGAACTTCAACTTCAGTGTGACTCGTTGCAGTTAGACAACAACCAGGCTAAAGTGACTTGATATTACCTTAGAACAGCTAAGTTAGCTCCGGAGTGCATCCATGTGTAGTGATTGGTTTGTGAGGTGTTTAATGATTTCTCTCTGTCTGTCTCTCTGTCTTTAGTGGTCACTAATGTCAGTGAGTTACTGGGGCTGGACTCATTCCAGTTATCTGAAGTTCTAACCCAGCGCTCCATGATCCTCAGAGGAGAGGAGATCTGTTCCCCACTTACTGTAGAACAGGTGAACACATACATGCACAAACCAACCTTAGAGGAGGATTATGCTTTCTGGAGCAGTTAAATAAGCGCACACCACCTACAAATACATATACTATCTAATGCTTCTTTAACCACCTTGATAATTCACAAGCCAAGGCGTCAGATCGCTCGCATTTTGTTCATGCTCTGTTTATGTTTATGTTAACAGCGCAACAGAATTGATGCATATTACTTGACTTGAAACACACATTCCATCATACAAACATTCACATCACACATTACAATTAGGGCGTTTTCAGATCAGAAGCGTTTAGTGACGATACTGATGGTTTACCATTTAATCGGTCGAAATCTTTCCTTAAGCATGAAAATGACTGCAGAGATGTTTTAATCAAATCGATTTTTTTATTTGAACATTTTTATTTCAAATACAAAAAAGAAAGAATAGATTCTTGATCACCTCCCGCTGTCCAGTCTGTATGTTTTTGAGGCAGGCATAAAGGAATTGCCAGTTTTTTGAGGTTAGCCTTAGACTAACATGGACACTAGACCAATGAGGCCTGGCTTAGGAGCCACCTGTGTCTCCCCTCCTGGTCTGTACAACTAGCTATGGACCAGTTTATCCTGAAGCATGAATGTTTTCCAAATTCCAACAGTGCCTGATGGTCAGAGGCACGAGTGTATGAGTCGCATGTATGAGATAAATGACTTCAAGAAAGCTGAAGTGTACTTCTTACTTAAATTTCCTGCTCTATCTTAAATATTGCAGCAGTTACATTAAGAGCCTGTGCAGGTACCAGAGTGTAACTGCTGCTCCATTTAAGGTGGAATGAGAAATGCCAAATCCAACTAAACTTTGCAGATATCCAGATGAGTGACCGAACATTTAGCTCTGTTTTTGCCAGAAAGCAACAGTGAGAGGTGTTTATCTATATGTTGCTCAGTTTTGTTTTTGCTTTTAGTAAAAATATTTCTTTTCTTTTTTTTTTGGTCATTAAAACTTGTTCTTTTTAGGAAGTGGAGGGACATCCCAGAATAATAAGCCATTGCTGATAAAAGACAAAGGTTTACTTAAGCATCACTACTACACCTGACACAGTGTATAATTTAGAAGCTCTGGCTGTGGTTATTATGTCCAGCAAAAAAAGAAAGCGGTCATACTAAGCATACGCAGGTCAGCAGCAAACAATGCCATTGCTTGCTTGTGCAAAGCTGTTTTGCCACTTGTCATCTGAAAGTGCCTTTAGGCTTTTTCCCTAATTTCCTAAATGGCCACTTTCTTCTCCTGATGGTTAGGCAATAGATTCACGGGATTCGGTTGCCATGGCGCTGTACTCTCAGTGCTTCTCCTGGATCATCATGCGGATCAATCAGAAGATCAATGGCAAAGACAACTTCAAGTCCATCGGCATCCTCGACATCTTTGGTTTTGAGAACTTTGAGGTGAGAGACGACTAACTGTACACTCAAACACTCATACTTCCACAAATGGACTGAATCACCCACACTGTATTGTATAATTATTTCCCATATCTCAGCTAGCAGTAACACTCTAGTGGAGTCTCCGATATGGACATCCATGATGCTGTAGTGTTGTAAGAACATAGTAATCTCACTTTTTTCCATGTGTTCCACAGGTGAACCGTTTCGAACAGTTCAATATCAATTACGCTAATGAGAAACTGCAGGAGTACTTCAACAAGCACATCTTCTCTCTGGAGCAACTTGAGTACAACAGGTAATGCCAAACTGCTTATGAGCATTGCTTATGCTTCTTGTAAAGCTCTTATAAGTCCAATATGAAGATACTCTAACAGCTGTTGTGTGTATATAACTTTGTGCTCACTTTGGTGTGTAGGGAGGGTATTCGCTGGGAGGCTATTGACTGGATGGACAATGCAGAATGTCTGGATCTCATTGAAAAAGTAAACACTCCCTAAACCTCTTTATCTTGTTATCTCTCTAAATCTCTTTATATAATATATTCTGACTTGTTTGAGAGAGTAGTTTTAAAGAGCCCATATCATGAAAAACTCAACAGCCTGCTTTGAATTCATCATGTTGATATCAAAACCGTTAACACATTTGCATATGACCTGGCATTAAAACCCCTGCAATTTAGCATTTTAACAGTTTTTGAATGTTTTCTCTCCATTTGTTTTTTGGTTTTCTCTCCATTTTGTTGCAGTCAGGCACTGAGCAGATTAAACTCAACAGAGAGTTTCCCCAAATGCACAAATAACCATTGTTTATGTTAAGCTGTAAAATTTGACAATATGTCAATTCATAAAAAAATAAGATTTTCTTCAGAAAGTAATAAAGGCATGTTTTTTTTAAGAATAGCATTTTTGAACTTTCTTATGAACGTCTGTGTTTGCCTTACGATTCTTTTTTTGGTAACACTTTCTATGAAGCCTGTATTTATAAATAGTTTTAAATGTGCTTAGAACTCTTTGTAACTTTATAATAATGCTTTTTACGCATGCTTCTAAACTTTAATAATGCCTCATAAGGCTTTAATAATGTACTAAAATTAATTATTTGATGATTTATAAACATGTTGGAAAACAAGTGTCACTATCCGTTATGAAGCTTTTTAAACTTGCACAAAATTATAAAGCACCTACAATAATTATTAACAATTATAAAAACATCAACATTTAAAATGCCATCACTGAGTGCTTCAAGTAAAGAGACTGATAATTTTTTATTTAGGTCATTTACATTTGAATGATGTCTGTCAGTCTGTGCCCTATGATATATCTTTCATTACTGCAGGATTAGCTGGGAGAACTTCCTGCCTTGTGAGGTTAATTAGGTGCTTCTTATGTATTCTGGTCATTTTTGGATAGTGTAGGACAAACAAGTTTACTAATGGTACAATAATTTATATTATATAATAATGTCTATGATATATGGTGAATAGTGATGCTTGTGCTACTACATGTTCATACGTCCCCAGGTAATTAATTATAGTTCATTATTAGAGCCTTATTAAGTATTATCAGAGTTTATAAATTCGCTTACAAAACATCGTTACCAAGCTACAAGGAGTTAAGCACTGAAGCACGTTCATATTGGCTTTTGAATATGGACTTTATAGAAAATGTTACAGATTTTTCCTAGGAAAGCCTTTGTGAATGTAGCCCCTGACTCTTCTATTAGTAGGGTGATCCACAGCTGTTCTGGGTGCTGATCTCTATTCATGATTGTGTTTCAGAAACTGGGCCTGCTGGCTCTGGTTAATGAGGAGAGTCGATTCCCTAAAGGCACGGACTTCACTCTGCTGGAGAAACTACACAGTCGACACTCTGTGAGTTAAACAAACACACACACACACACACACACACACACACATACACACACACACGTGCCCATATACACATGGTGCAGATGGCTTCAAAACAAACATTCTCTGCATGCTATCACAGACACAGATGTGCAAATATATACACACATTATGTCTCCACAGACTAACCCTTACTATGTGAAGCCCAGACTGGCAGACCATCAGTTTGGCATCAAGCACTACGCCGGCGAGGTGAGTTTCACTCTGAGTGTGTTTGTGTGTGTGTGTGTGTTCATACTTGTTTATGATGTATGTTCTCAGTCTCTCATTCTTCTCATTCCTTCGTTTTCCTCCCTCTTCTTTATCTCTGTCCATACCCCCTGTTTCTGTCTCTCTCCCTCTTCCTCTGCAGGTTCTGTATGATGTAAGGGGGATCTTGGAGAAGAACAGAGACACGTTTAGGGATGATATCCTAAACATGCTGAAAGACAGCAGGTTAGAAACACAGACACCATTTCCTTGAATTTGCTTTGTTCTGCACACCCACAAACAGTATACTGCTGCTGTCAGAACAAAACCTCGTATCTCCAAAATGATGTACTTTTATTGTAAGTCTATGGAATCAGACATTTTTCCAAGTCATTTTGGCCCATTATTTTTCGTCCATTCATCATAAAAATTACACACAATAAAAAGGGCAACAGGCGTTTTCAAATTATGTCAAAAACTGAAAATGACATTTTTGTTGATTTTTTTTTTAGTGGAAAGACAAGGAAGACAATTTAATGCACAATTACTGTTTATTTACTTAGTGAGAGTTTACAGTATTGGAGGAAAAGAAAGCTACGGCATTTTATAATTTATGCTCTCTGATATGTTAAATTCAGCAAATAAAAAAATAGAAATTGTGCACTAAAATTTACAGGAAAATTACATATTTAAATTTCTTCTCTGTAGAGGATGTGTTATTTCTTTCCTCTTAGAAAAGCAACAAAGTGTGTAATTTGACCAGGGGTATTCAAACTTTTGCATACAACTGTATAATCATATACTAAAGCAAACAGGCAAAAGACCTTGACACGTTTAAGGGGAGGGCCATTTCCTGTTATGAGTGGTGTAAGCAGGCACTTGGTCGATATGTTTTTCCTTTTTTTTGTCTTTTTTTTATTTTTGTCTTTTTTTACATATAATTTTGCTGTGCTCAGTGGTGCAACTATGTAAGGCCCTGTCATCGGGCGATTAGAAGTTGGATTCCCGGTGATGCCACAGCCATCCATGCCCAGACGTCCAAGAGAGCCTAACTGGTCTTACTCTCTCTCCCCGCCCCCATCACTCAACATGATGCTAGCAACACTGGTGTCTGTTCAGCTGCAGAATTGGTTTTTAGTGTTCTTCTCCAAGTGTGTTGAGTTATCCAATGGTGTTGCATTAGTGACAGTTCAGAAAGATGCAGTTGCACTTCACATGTCTTGTAAAAACAAAAAGGCATGTGCCAAACTTCACCCTCTTAGCTTGGTAGCATTGTGTGATAAGCGGTGACCTCGCTAGTGGGTGGAATTTGCCACAACTAAATGGAAGAAATTGGGTAAAAAAACACATTTTAAAAAAGTAAAATAATAATAATCATTTTAAGACACAGTGATCCCATAGTTTCCATGGTTATTTTTCATACGTGAAAAATAATGGGTGGGGGTGGTTGGGACCCCCAAATGGCATATCGCTTAGGGCTGGCAAATGTTCAGAAGTGGCCCTGTTTGTCAAATGTGTGTACAGTCTTATGCAGAACTCCTGGTGAAATTACATATTTTGTTGATTTTCTATGTAAAAATAACACATCCTCTGCAGAGAACGATCATAAATATGGCATTTTTCTACATTTCTTAGTGCACGATGTGTATTTATGTGCTGAGTTTAACATTTTGGAAAAAACAACATAAAATATACGTGTACCATATTTATGAGCATTTTTTTTACTATATTAAATTCAGCAATTAAACAATTATTGTGTATTAAAATGTGCGGAAGTGTGTTTTCTAGAGGTTGCGTTAACTTATTTTCATGCAGAAAATCAACAAAACATGATTTGGCTACAGCACCTAAACTTTGTGCATAATATAACTGTATAGAATGTGGCTCAGCCAATCAGAATTGCTATAATATTTGCTATTAAAATGTGCATAGAGTATAGAGATTTTTTTTAAGTTGGGCTTTTGTTTGTGCACCCAGGCTGGACTTCATCTATGACTTGTTTGAGCAAGTGGGCAGCAGGAATAATGAGGAGACTCTGAAAATGGGCACTGCCAGAAAAAAGCCCACTGTCAGCTCCCAGTTCAGGGTGAGTGCTGCTTCATATTCTCTCTCTCAGACTAATGAAAACCCACAAAATAAATCTGCATCTGTAAAACTATCTAAATAAACCAGTGTCAGTGTCAACAACATTTCTAATGCTTTTTATATAACAGTATCTTGTAAATATGTGATTCATCATCTATCCTATTACCCAGGATTCCCTCCATGCCTTAATGGCCACTCTGAGTGTGTCCAACCCTTTCTTTGTGCGCTGCATCAAACCCAACATGGACAAGGTGAGATTTGCCACTTGATTTGATTTAGTTCAGTAAGATTATGACATTTTCTGAAACCACAGCAAAGCATGTTATGGACCTCTCTCAATGTGCTTATCATTTGATGTCTTTAGACACCCAGCAGCTTTGTCCCAGAAGTGGTTCTGAACCAGTTGCGCTACTCAGGCATGCTGGAGACAGTGAAGATCCGCAGAGCAGGCTTTCCTGTCAGACGCACTTTCAAAGACTTCTTCAGCAGGTGAGGGTGCTCAATCCTGAACATCCGCACCACTTTAGACTCCTGTATGTTGTACTGGATATATTTTTACCAAATGAATTTTACCCTTTGTCCGGTTTTACCTGGTTTTTGTTTGGTCTAGTGACTTACAGAAGTGACTAAACACTCCAAGTGATAAATAGTGCACAACCGGAAACTAGTTTTTACTGTTTTGGCTTTGATGATGTAGACACTATTGAATTGCAGTATTTTCTGCAAAGCCAAGTGCAAGGTTGTAGTTTTAGTCTCAGAAGTGAGGGGAGCACTTATTCTCTCATCAAACATTTCTTTTGTTTTTATCTTCTTGATACTTTGGAATATTTCAGACACGTTTCTTTGCCTCTTCATGTTCATGGAAGCATTCAGCCAGTAACGAGGTGAAGTGGCTGGAGTTTTTGGACAGTGATAGTGTATTTCTTCCTCATGCTTGTCTGTGTGCAGGTATAAGATCATCCTGAAGGACAGGGGAGCAGGGGCTGAGGGAGATGAGAAGAAGAAATGCACGGACCTGCTCACCAAATACGATCATGCAAAGAAAGAGTGGCAGCTCGGGAAGACCAAGGTGTGCTGGGCTCCTCCAGCTTTCTAACTGTGTTCTGTCCTTCTGCCATTTTATCACTGGCATCGTCAGTGTGATAATCAAAAAATGTAATTCAGTATAGCTGAAAGGTTTACCTTTTAAACGTCCACATTAATGTCAAGGTTTTTTTTATAAATTAATACATACACACACATTGTCTAATCCGCTTATCCTTCTGGGCCACGAGGGGTGCTAGAGCCTATCCTGCGGTTATTGAGCAGAATTAATAGATTTATAATTTTTTCATTGAGATACAATGAAGATTCAGTAGAAAGTAGAACATTTCTGCTTTTTATCATGCAATGTTCACACAGGGCAGCCGGTGTTTTTTTCGAAAGGTATAACAAATTTGAAAAAAAGTAGTTTCAGGGTTTTTTTTATTTGACATTGACTTAATGTGTGTGTGTTGTGAGCAGGTTTGGGTAGTAATGGAATACATTAACAGCTTTATGTAATCGGGGGGAACATTTTATATAAACCCTGCTGCATAACATTGAAATTACCATGCCTTGGATGTCAAGTAAAGTATTACCTAATCAAGATACAACAAAGGTAACTGTGATCTGTTACAGCTGCTAAGAAAGCAGCAATTAAATTACAGATACAGTGTAGAAGTAGGGTAATGAATATCAGGATAACACTTTTTTCTCTAACAGCAATTTTCTTGCCTTTCTTTCTCTACAAGTTAAATTCTTTGTTGCTTTTTTCCTTTTCATGAGATTTTGTCTCCCTTTACCTCAAGAAAAAATACAAATTTAGCTGAACTTGGATCAGTTATAAGTTAATATCTTCCTTCTGGAGACAGTGTGCTGTAGTGAGTGATAAAGTCTCACAAAAAGAAAAAAAATCTCACTAAAACCCACTTTTACTGGGGCAACGATGTTCACTACTAGTTGATGAATCCAAGTTAAGATAAATTTCTCCTTTTTCATGTGATGCATTTCACAGTGTCTTTCACTGCTGTTCATTGTGAGTGATGTAGGTCTGTGTTCATGTTGAAATTATGTAAGCTATTAATAATTAAGTTAGGAGGATGAAAAGCTCCCAGAAATACATCACAGAAAATGAACCTGACCAAGAACAGTAGCACCTAGCAATATCTGATAGGCTCATACTGGAAAATATCGAATAAAATGCATGAAACATCTAAACAGATTCCCAAGCTTGGACGTGCAATTCCCATGAGTGCAGTTTAAAAAGTGAGTTACCTTGCAGGACTAAATAGGTGTATAAAGCCTTATTTGAATACTTGATTAATTCCACCAAACTATTCAGTGACATACTCAAATGGCTGTACACTCAGCACACACAAAGCACAGACTGTCATACATCACCTACAGGGCAGTTTTCCTGTTTCCTTTGTGTTATGTTAAAGTTGCCTAATTGAAATTGTTTTTCTTTTTTCTTTATTTCTTTATATGCCTTTAAAATGACTTTTAAAAGACAAGTAATCCTAAATTAAACAAAACTAATCAGATTACATTACTTCATTGCAGTGATTGTTTTTTAACAGGTAATCCTTAATCAGAATATTTAAAGTAACTCTCCCAACCCTGGTTGTGAGTCTTGCTCATGCGCTCTGCTCTCTGACGTGCAGGTGTTTATGAAGGAGTCTCTTGAGCAGAAACTGGAGAAGGAGAGAGATGAGGTGCGCCGCAAAGCTGGCCTCATCATAAGGGCACATCTGCTTAGTTACATAGCAAGGTAACGTGTGTGTACTTGTTTTCTCGTGTGCTCTGATTTCATTGGGAGCCCTAGCTTTTTGGAAAATTTTCACAGGCTGTTGTTTAGGCAGTGGCAAAAACATACACAAAGACATGAACTGTGAAACCAGTTCACCAATTTGGAGTAATTGTCACCAGCGTGCAAAATACTAATTAGTATTTGGGGGGGGGGCATGGGGGGTTGGGAGTTGTCCTGTGTTGGCTGGCTGCTAACTCACTCATCACTTGCTGATGACTCAATGGCAATAAAATGTTTGGTTTAGCAATTCTTCTGGAAATGCTCTTTTCTGGTTTGGATATGCGCTCTTACACACATTAACTAAGATCTTACACATCTCTTCTATCTTTGTTTTAAGAAATGAGTAACATTACATTCTTTGGAAATTGGGCAAGTATTCAGATTTACAAATATGCTGTGGCACATTCTAAAGTTTTTTAGAGGTATCCTGGGTATAGTTACAGTTGCTAGGCTATTAAAGACCAACTGCTAATACTAAGAGAGCATTATTGGCCTTGCTCTCTCTGGGTGGGTAGAATGCCCCCGCCATCTCCCCCCATTACTCAGTGTGATGCCAGCCAATGCAGGCGTCTGTTAGCTGACGTAACAGAACTGCCGATTGGTGCTTTCTTTTTCGAGCGCATTCAGCTGTCCAATGAAGTTGCGTTAGCGGCAGTTCGGAAAGATGCAGTGGCTGGCTTCACAGATGTGGGAGGAAGCTTGTGCTACCTTTCGCCCTCCTAGTGCTGGTAGTATCATGTGATTGGGGATTCTTACGTAATGTAGATGTAGATGTAATTAGATACATCTAAATAGAGAAGAAAATTTAAGAAAAAAAAAAAGACAAACTCTGTGAATCAGTTTTCTGCAGCACCATCATAAGGCAGACCTGTGCTGCAGCTCTGGTTAGTTAAGCTCACCAATTGGGTGAACAGCTAAACAATGACCTTTTCCTGAAATTGTATTTGGGCATTTTTCTTAACAGACAGCATAACGTTATAATAGCCTTACCTTTATGGCACCCCACCAGGATTTTGATTTCATTAAATTCTGGATGTCCAAAAGGTGAATTAAATTTCACACCTTGTCACACGAAAATGGTCAAAGAAAGGAAATGTTCTAACCCCTGGTTCCTCTTTGCAGGAAGCACTTCAAGAAAGCTCTGGCCAGCATTGTGACCCTCCAGAAGAACTACCGCGCCCACTTCTACCGACGGAGGTTTCTACGGAAACGCTCTGCAACTCTGGTTCTACAGAAACACCGGCGAGGGCAGGTGGCGCGGGGCACCTGCCGAAAACTACGAGAGGAGAAGAAGAAGAGAGAGGAGGAGGAGAGGAGGAAGAGAGAGGAGGAAGAGAAGAAGAGAGAGGCAGAGGGGGCACAGGCAAAAGAAGGAGAGGTATCCGAAGAAGAGAGTGCAGCAGAAGGAGAAGCTAAAGTAAGCACTAGGCAATTTTACAAAACACATTAAAAAAATATTTAAACTGCCTGGATGTGGGTCCACACATCAATTTCAAATAATTAAAGAATTTACTTTTTCAAAATAAAAGTGTTTGATGTACCATGTAAAGGTGCTACATAAAAAGGACAGTTAGTCAGAATAGAGACCACTTATATATTTCAGTCTTAAAGGCACAGTAACAAAAACAGCCAGTTTAATTGTAAGGGGTGCTAATACTAAGAAGGAAGGTTGGAAATTGTCATGTAAAATTGAAATGAAATTGTTTATAGTGCACAAAACATTATAACACAAAGGTTATAAGCTGATGTTAGGCAAAAAAACAAGAAAAACAAATACGACCCATTTAAGACGAATAAATAAGTAAATATTAGTTTAAGGCAGTTTAAGAAAAAACAATACAAATGTGTTGTTTTTGGCTTCCTGTGTCTTCTTTACATCATACACAGTTATATATAAAAGTATATAGAAACACCCCACATATGGCAGTTTTTTGCAGATATTAGTGCACAGTTTAAAAAGGTGCCTTAATTTTTGCACAGGCCAACTTCATATTTATTTTTTTTCAATATGTTAAATTCAGTTTGCATTAAAATGCGCAGAAGTAGATGATGGTATTTCACTTAGAAAATTCATGAAACGTGATTTGACCAGAGGCGCACAAACTTTTGCATGTCACTGTACAGAAGGCCTTTCAGTCCATGCTGACTCGATTTCTATGTGATTGTATCGGAATAGAAAACAAGTCGTGAAAACATTTGTTTTTTCTTCCTGTTCTCCCCTCTCCCTCTCTCTCTCCCTCTCTTCCTCTCTCTCTCTCTTTCTCTCTCTCTCTCTTTCTCTCTCTCTGTCTATCTATCTCTATCTATCTCTATGTCTCTCATTCTAGTCACAGCGCTCGACAGAGGAGGAGAGTCGTCAGATGGAGGAGATTCTACGCTTGGAGAGGGAGATTGAGCGGCTACAGAAGCAGAGGGAGGATGGTGTGTCCATGCTGTGCGAGAGTTCACGGCAGGAGCTTCGTCTGCGTCGTGACGCGGAGACGCTGCGGCAGAAGAAGGAGGCTTCCCGCGCAGCCACTCAGTCACTCGACCTGCAACACTTCGACCCCAAACGTGCCTCCCCTGCGCCTCCCCCTCCCCTGCGTGAGGAGGAGGTGGATGAAGGCTTCCATGCTGAAGAGGAGTGCATCCCTCTGCCCGATTTTCCACCCCCTGCCGAGGGGCCTCCAGATCAAGAGATTTTAGCCACCTTACCCCCTCCTCCCCCAGCCTTCGCAGAGGGCACAGTAGGATCTGGAACACCTGCTGCAGCACCGGACGTCCCTGGCGCTCCCAATGCTCCGCCTCCTCCACCACCGCCACCACCTCCTCCCCCACCTCCTCCGCCTCCCCTCCCGGGAGAGGGTCCAGAGGTGAAGAAGGATGTTTCCGAGCCTGCTGCACCTGAAAAAGAGGAGGGAAAGGTGGACGAGGAGAAGAAGAAGGCAGAGGAGGGAGGGGAAGAGGGAGTGGACCAGGACAGGAACCTGACCACGTCTGAATCCATGATGGATGCGGAGGAGCCTATCTACAGCATGCCACTGGACACAGAGTCCGATTACGACCAGGATGAGCTGGAGGATGGCCAGAGCAGTACGGCGGCCACTGACCCTGAACACGCCCGCAAGTCCACCTGCACCAATGCCAGCCAGGAGTCCTACAACCGCAGCTCTGACTCGGTCAGACATACACATATACAATAGTTTTGCAAAAGACAATATAATGTTTCATAAAAAACATAAACAAAACATAACATAAACATAACATAAACAAAAAGACATTCATAAAAAACATTGTGCTCTGATAATAGATCATTGTGCTTGAATGTGATTTGGGGGGCCTTCTGTTTAACATATGCCTACAATTAAGTGGCAAAGTGTCTAACCACCATTTCAACACAAAAATATCACTGGTCAGGGCTGTTGAAATCGATAATACAATATTGTCAAATCACTTAAGCATTCCCATCATTGACAGACAGTTCCGGACAGCCATGTATGCATTCATGAACAAACCAGTCTGAAAGAGATACGTATAATTTATGGTATAAATTGTTATTAAAAGCCAGTCTGATTAGTATAATAGACTAGACATTAAAGAGTAATCCCACTAATGTTTCAAAATTTTTGCATAATTCAGTAGTTGTGATGTGAACAAAGTCATTCAGGGTGTTTTAGTGTAAAATGTGCCATTGTAGAGAACTTTGACAGCTCATGTGGTGATGCTGATGGGAACAATTTCATGAAATAACTCTCTGTGAGGGAGATTTTAGAGGCATAAACACTTGGGACATCTGGTTCCTATCACCACCACTGTGAACATATTATCAACACTCTTGTTTCTTCCTCATTAGGCTGCAGAGAAACATTGCAATGGAGCTTTTAAATGCTAATGCTAACAATAGTACCTTTCTTCATCTTGCTGTTTCTCTCCTTCTCTCTGTTAGTATGTGGAGAGTGATGAAGAGCATGATGGCTATGCAGACACAGATGAGGAGGTGTCAAATGGAAAAGTGAACGTGCTGAATGGTAACGGGCCGCCGTACTTCCACAGCTACCTCTATATGAAGGGTAAGCGTGAATCAAATCCCTAAATAACCTCACACAAACATATACACAAACACACACTTATATATAACTACACAACACAGAGGATAGGGAGCACTGAAATGTACTAGCACAGCAAACTCCCAGTATTAAATAAACACTTGACATACTGGTGTGATTTTGTTGTCTGTACAATCTCTTTTTATTTTAAACTAAAAAAACAGTGTAATGCTCTAATGTATTAAACCAGCGTTACTAATCCTGATTTTGCTGATAAAAAGCTACACTCTTCAAAGCAGTGTTACATGGAACTTACAATTTGAATTTATAAGAATTTTAATTCTTGACAAAAAATTAATTTACACAGTTTTCCCTCTTACTGTTACCAATTAGTCAAGACATTTTCTCTTTGAAACTTGTTTAGTAAAGCTGTGAGGCTGATGTCACTAGCAAGTAATGGAAGCTTATCACTGCTCTTGGGACAAAACCTTGTTTCTCCATTTTTGCTGTTTTTCAGTTCTGACATAATTTGAAAATGGCTGTTGCCCTTTATATTGTGTGTAAATTTCTGATGAATGGATCACAAGAAATGAAGTAAAATGACTTGAAAAAGGTCTGGTTCCATTAAAAATGAAGTATGTTTTTCCTTCTCCTGTAAAGTTACCATTTTCGACAGCAGCATTATGCATTAACATTTATGCATTTGGCAGATGCTTTTATCCAGAGCGATTTACGCTTTAATTATTTACAAAGGCAGGTCAGTGCAGCGTTAGGAGTCTTGCCCAAGGAAACTTATTGGTGTGCCGTGGGGAGGAGGTGTTTGAACCCCAACAGCAGCTTTAACCACAATGCTACACCAACCATCACTGATATATACTGGTTTCTGATAATGTATGACATACTGTAATCTGTAAAAATGCAAAAAGGCTTCAAGATGACTGTTGTCAGCTATACAACATTTTTTTTCCAAATAAATTTATTTTTATCAAACTATTCCTTTAACATGACCTGTTTTTCTTCATCACTCTCTTTTCCCATAGCTGGCCTGATGATCCCATGGAGAAGGCGCTGGTGTGTGCTGAAAGACGAGACCTTTATGTGGTTCCGCTCTAAGCAGGAGTCCCTGAAGTCGGGCTGGTTGTATAAGAAGGGCGGGGGTCTGTCCACTCTGTCCCGAAGGAACTGGAAGATGCGCTGGTTCGTGCTGCGTGACTCCAAGCTCATGTATTTTGAGAACGACAGCGAGGAGAAGCTGAAGGGAACCATCGACATCCGAACAGCCAAGTAAACTACAACACACAAAATCAGAACATTTCATGATACTTATGCTTTATTTACTTACAAGGGACAGTGCACCTAGGTTAACGTCAAAGTATCTGTGCCAGTTTTAATTATTCTGCCAATTTGTGTTTTATTGAGTGGCAGAAATTGGCTGATTTGTGTTGCTTGTTCTGTTAGGTATTAACCAAACAAGCATGTAAGTTATGTCTACTGAAAAATATCTGTTCTGCTTTATCCAGGGAGATAGTGGACAACCATGAGAAGGAGAATGCTCTGAACATTGTGACAGACGAGAGGACGTATCAAGTGTTTGCAGAGTCACCAGAGGATGCCAGGTATGCTAATGTCTTTGTATCCAAAAAGGGCTTACCTCTCTCACTTATCTGTGTTTCACTCTTGTTCACTTTGTCTATCCTGCTATCTCTCTATTCTCTCTCTCTCAGTGGTTGGTTTAACGTCTTAAGTCGGGTCCACACTGCTTCTCCTGAGCAGCTGCTGGAGATGTCCCATGAGCAGGCCAACCCAAAGAATGCTGTGGTCAGTTTCATTTTTCCGTTTTTACTCTGCAGCATTGTTCTCCAATCACAGGTCTGCTGAATGTGTTTCATGTGGTGCGGTGTAAATTGTACCATGAGAGCCTTAACGTGATACACCCACCAGTTATCAAGTCCTTCATGATCCAGAGTAAATAATAGAAATAATTTATACATTTCATTTATATTATTTACATTGTACATAGTAAGCAATCAGCTAAAAACATGCAGCATATGAAAAAATGTAGCATGCTGAAGGATGGATGTGGGATGGAATGTCATCTCTGGCTGTTTTTTTTTTGTTATTTACAAAGTGAACAATGTGTATTATTCACAGTCTATAAAAGGCTCTGTACATCTCTCTCTTTCACACAACCTGCCACAGGGCACTCTGGATGTGGGGCTGATCGACTCGGTTTGCGCGTCTGACAATCCTGACCGGTGAGTCTGCTATTTGGCCAGTCACCTCTTGGTTTCCTTGCTGCACCACTAGATGGTGCCCAACCCTACAATTTCTGAAACTGCAGCAGTAATAATAGTGATCTTAATCTCTTTCTGACAGGCCCAACTCGTTTGTAATCATCACGGCCAATCGAGTGATCCACTGTAACACTGACCTGCCGGAAGAGATGCACCACTGGATCAGCCTCCTACAGAAGCCCAAAGGAGACTCCAAGATCGAAGGCCAGGAGTTCCTGGTCAGAGGTCAGTCCAGCATGTCCAAATACAGAGCAAAAGTCAAAAGTATGGGCGCCCCCTGTGAAAATAAGTCAACACATTTATGTTTTATTTTTTTCCAATATGTTAAATTGAGCAAATAAATAAACATTCTACACTTCACAAAACAGTGAATATGGTCAAAGATTTAGTTCAATCATGCTGCAGGTTAAATCAGAAAAGATGTCAAATTATTTCCCGTTACAAATTATTAGAGGGTGTTAACCCCTGGTCAAAAATTCAGTAAGCATTTTTATTGGAGACAGTTTGTGTATGTCAGATTTGGTAATTTGTTTGCAAACACTAAAACCACCAATACTAAATTTGTATCTAATAACATCTTCAGTGTGCATTGGAGAGTTCTGTAACTCTACTGTCCACTTGTGAGACCACTTTAACACTTTGATTTTAAACTGTGTCCTCTGTGTTCCAGGTTGGCTGCACAAAGAGGTAAAAACTGGAGCCAAGAGCAGTGCACTGAAGCTGAAGAAGCGCTGGTTTGTCCTGACCAATAACTCTTTGGACTACTACAAGTCGGCTGAGCGCAGTGCGTCTAAGATGGGCACCCTGGTGCTCAACAGCCTCTGCTCTGTGGTTCAACCTGAGGAAAAGGTCTTCAAAGAGACGGGTGAGCACAACTGACTGCGCCATAATGAACATAACTCAGGATGATGGATATTTTTATTAGCATTGGTAGAGTTTAAACAAGTGAAGAAGGCTGGTTACTTCAGAAATTCATTATATTTGCAAATGGATAAATAACACACAAGAAATATACTTTGAACTGGTTTTTTGAAGTGTTGGATTGAATGGGAAAATTCACTGGAATTCTCTTGTCCTCGAAACATTGATGTTTCCTCCATTATTTTGTCATTTTACTTGTAAATGATCTATGATTCATAATTTTATGGTTATTCTACAGTTCTTCTAGTTTCGAAAGCTTCTTCTCCTATAACATTGCTGCTAACATGCTTGCACTGTAGGTTACTGGAACATCATAGTTCACGGGCGCAAACATTCCTACCGGCTCTACACGAAGATGCTAAACGAAGCCATGAGATGGGTGTCAGCCATCCAGGGAGTCATCGAGAACAAGGCGCCCATCGAGACGCCCACTCAGCAACTCATCAGAGACATCAAGGTAAAGCTGAAGAGTTCCAGTTAATTTCAGTTTACAGGATCAACCTACTGTATTCAGTTCATTACATGAAATCTGCTCAGATGTACATTGGGGAATTTGAGTTGTAGACTGATCTCCTGAATGAGTCTCCTGAAAGAGTTCAGCCGTGGTAGATTTAATCCCTAACCCTTAAATAGCTGACTATACTTCCATGTGATTCCTATGTTCATATTCAAACGTAAGTTGTAATGAAATAATGCTCAGGCCCAGTGACAGTCATTAGGTCCCTTTACTTTTTATTAAGAGCAGAATTTAAGATTTAAGCCTCTTTCTGCAGGCCCCCTCTTGGTCATGAGGAATGTGAATTGACTGACATTTTAAATTAATATAATCCAAAAAATACTATTCTTTTATCAAATTAATTAAGATGCTGTTGTCTGTATGTCTGTGAAATGTTGTGACTCTGCAGCACAATTGCAGCTTTCTTCATATTAAAGAAGTACAACTTCCACAATAAAAAAAAAACACAACGAAAACCCTTCTAGAAATGTTGACTTACTTGCTTTGCTACTAGGATAAAAATCAATTTTGTTTCTGGTTTTGTAAATCATACACATTTCTACAGTCTCAATGTTTTATAAGAAAAAAAAGTTGAGTTGAAAGTGAGGGACCTCCCTCCTGAGAGAAAATTGCGTTTTATTGCTACTACTGTGAAAAAAAGGGGTTAATTTTTTCACAGCTTGTTATCTGACATGTTTGACTGACATATTTGTCTTTTATAGTGTTAGATAAAAGCCCTGTCCTGTAACCTTTATCATCTGTTGTATTTGTTGTGTGTAGGAGAACAGTGTGAATTCAGAGGCAGTGGAGCAGATGTATCGCAGAAACCCCATTCTCAGATATACCCAGCACCCCTTGCACTCACCCCTCCTGCCTTTGCCCTATGGAGAGGTCAACGACAGCTGTAAGTCTGCTCTACAAGCATTACAGTGCCCTCTGTCGGCCCTGTCTGGTGTGAGCGATTGGAGCTATACTGTTATTGGAGTCTTTCTCACTAATTCACTGTCTGTGTACCTTCCACATTATATTTGTCCTTTGCCTTTCTTTCACACTCTCTTTTTCTTCACTCTCTGTTTCTCTCTCACTCTTTCTCACACCCTTTTTTTTCCTCTCTTTCCGGCAGCACAAAAAGAAAAGGGTTATGGCAGCCTGCAGGATGAGGCGGTGAAGATCTTTAACTCTCTACAGGAGATGGAGATTGTTTCTGACCCCATTGCCATCATCCAAGGCATCCTGCAGACCTGCCACGATCTTAAGCCACTAAGAGACGAGGTCTACTGTCAGCTGATCAAACAGACCAATCACGTTCCCCAGCCCAACAGCCCGGCCAACCGTGCACACTGGCACCTGCTCACCTGCATGAGCTGCACTTTCCTGCCCAGTCGTGCCATCTTGCGCTACCTCCGCTTCCATCTCAAGAGGTGAGGCACTGCTCATACTGTTTCACTCTCAGCCTATTGAATTTAGCGTCTCTTGCTATGCTTAATGAGAGAAACTTTGACTTCTGTAGCTGGGCATAGCAACGGGTACTAAATTGTGAGAAACTTGTTGTCCTGACCAACCTGAGAGCTTCCAGATGAGTTTCTTTGGGTGTTTTGATGATTCAGTGCTTTCACTTGATCCAACAGATCATAAATAATTTTCAAAATTTCTGAAGTTCTTAATTATGTCATGTGAAAGTTTTACTAGTGTGTTTTTGTATATTGCAAGGCATATTGCAATTGCAATATGTAGCAATACAATCACAATGGTCGATATTTTGTCCATATTATACACCCCTTGTGTAAATATGTTGCAGTATTTTAAGAACATGATGCAGGTACGTTTACCAATGCAAGTCCGCCTGTTTCTTTGACAGTAGTTGCAGTATTTGGAGTCATTGTGGCTGAGCTGAACATTGTGTTTTGTATCTCAGGGTTAGGGAGCGTTACCCTGGCACCGAAATCGAGAAATATGCCCACTTCATTGGCGAGTCTCTAAAGAAGACCAAGACCAGGGAATTTGTTCCATCTCAGGAAGAGATTGTCGCCCTGCTAACCAGACAAGAGATGACCACCACTGTGTACTGCCACGGAGGAGGATCCTGCAAAATTTCAATCAACTCGCATACAACTGCAGGAGAGGTGAGAGACAGAGAGAGTGAGAGAAGGTAATATTAAGGGAGGATGAGTGAAATAACTGACAAACACAAAGTTACATTTTTATTAGGGCTGTCAAACTTAACACAACAATGTATTATTAACCGCACATGTTTTTTAAAAACTGTTAATTAATTTTCCTAGTTTGACCTGTCAAATCATCCATAGCAGTGGATGAAGCCCAGCTGCTCACACATTATATCTATCTATGTATTTATGATAGAATACACTGTTGTAGCCAACTCGTTAAAATACAGCTTTTTAATGGCTTTAATTTATAACCTTCAACAGACTATATTGAACAGTGAATCTAGGAGATCTCTGGATAGATCAGCAAGTAGCAAATGAACAAAAGCAACTGCAAAGTGGAAAGCTGTGGGTATTATTTTAACAAGTATCCACAAACTGTTGCCCTCACTGGATGTCGGTGAGAAAAATTGGAAGCTGTTCATTCTGTGGAAATCACATAATTTTCACATTCAGGTTCATGTGAACCATATTGTTATTGAATTATTGAAAGTATAAATATATCCACTTATATATCTTTAACAAAATGCACTGCTTTTTAAATGGAAACATATTTCTTTAGAGTCAAATTCGAGCAAAGAAACAAATGTGAATAATCATGATTAACTACTCCCAATAATGCGATTTATGATGATTTATTTAAACTGTTTGGCAGCTTTTGCATCTCCATATTTTCCTTTAGAGCACTGCTCTGTGTAATAGGATTATTGAACTGTCACACTGTGCATTGTGTCAGTGTTTTAACACTCTTCTGATGTTGTATCTGTGTTTATCTGAAGGTCGTGGAGAAGCTGATCCGAGGTCTGGCAATGGACAACAGCAGGAACTTATTTTCTCTGTTTGAGCACAACAAGGTCGAGAGCCGGGCTATTGAGAGCCGCATCATTGTAGCAGATGTACTCGCTAAGTTTGAGAGGTATATAGACAATAGCGAAGTACTATAGCAGTGTTTTTTTAATTGGTCCTTCCTTCCTCTCATTGGCCAGGCTTTGTAAGCCTTTCAGGAGTTAACTAAACTAACCTGTGTTTGGTAATTTGCATACTCTAACAAGACTAAAATTCATAGTCATGGTGTTGTAGATTGTTATTGACCCTGTTATAGACACGATTATTACACAGTGGGATCCAAAAGTCTGAGACAACTAGTGAAAATGCTTCTGGTTTGCATTCTTTTCTAATTTAATGAAAAAATTGTCATTAGAAGTGATATTATCAGCATAACAATTTGAGTGAAAATGAGGATTTATTTATATGTTATTTGCTTTAATGACAGTGTGCACGTGAGTTGGCATGGAATCCGAAGTTTGTGCAAAAGCCTCTGATGTGCAGATCAAATCCACCTAAGGGCCGTGTGAATATGAGCTTCAATGGAACGGATAAAACTAAAAAATCTGAGCTTTTTGTACAGATGATACAGATTTGATTCTTGAATATTTCTTCCTCATTTTACATCTCATAAAATTTCTGTTGTTTATTTCCAGGGTTAAATGAAAAACTTTGTGTTGTCTCAGACTTTTGGACCCCACAGTATGAATATAGGAAAGCTAATTGCTGCTGCATTGGCCTCTACTTTCAGGCTGGCAGGGAGTGAGGAGGAGGAGGAAGATGGACCCTGGAGGCTTTATTTTAAACTTTATTGCTTCCTTGATGTGGAGAGCATGCCCAAAGAGGGGGTGGAGTTTGCCTTTATGTTTGAGCAGGTGAGAATTTACAAATGATAAAATGAGTCGTTGTTTGTCTTTGTTCACAATAGTAAAAGCTTCAAAGCAGTACTATTATTACAGCAAATCAGCTCTCCAAGTCTTCAAATCAAGTCTTGATCATCTACTGACTTTTCTCTTTAGTCTTCTTTCTCAATCTCACCTTCTGTATTTCTCTGTCTTGCTTTTTCTCCCCTCTCTCCTCAGGCTCATGAGAGTCTGATCAGTGGTCATTTTCCCGCCCCAGAGGAGACGCTGCAGCACCTGGCTGCTCTCCGCCTGCAGTATATCCACGGAGATGTGGCGCGGACACCATGGAGCCTGAGCAGTGTGTATCCTGTGGGCCGGCTTCGCACGCGAATCCTGCAGTCCACCAAGGCCGGTGGGGCAGGGGCTCCGGGGGCTGGCGTGATGGGACCGGGGGGTCACACTCTGGAGAGGAGACGGACAAGCTTCCTGGATGGGACGCTGAGACGCAGCTTTAAGACAGGGTCTCTCAAGAAGCAGCGGGTGGAGGAGGAGCAGATGCTGGAGATGTTTGTGAAGGAGGAGATGTCGGCCACACTGACCAGCGTGCTGGAGAAATGGAACCGGTTGCAAGGCATGCCCCAGCACCAGGCCATGCTCAAATACATGACCATCATTAAAGAGTGGCCAGGGTATGGGTCCACGCTCTTCGATGTGGAGGTAAGGGTCATTTAATGTAGAGGAAAATAGTAGCTTTATACTCAGTCAAGTGAAAAATAAAATCTAAAATGTGGTGTGCATTCGCTGCTTCGAATCACCCTGTACAACCAGAAATAGACATAAAAGCTACGCTCACATTACTGGGGTGAAGTGGCACAATTCCATTTTTTTGCTTTAATGTGACACAAATCTGATGTTTTCAGAGCAGTGTGGGCACACAAATCTGACCTGTCGAATCTGAGCCGCTTTCATATGTGGTCAGTTACATATCAGATTCAAGGCCATGCAACCTTAATGAGAACGCTCAGATCAGAATTCATGTGTGTTTTTTTTGACACTGTGCATGTGCCATCATTCAGCGTCAATGAGGCAACAGCACTTAACCTGAACTTAGTGCCAGTAAATGGTGCAAAAGCATCACATCTGACCCTTTTTCACCTTCGTCTTGCTTTAATAATGAACAGCTGAGAGTGGTTTAGAGCAAATTATCTTTACACAGGTCTTGTTCTGCTAGTGAGTTTGTTTGCTGTTCATTCACATGACGTTATTCATAGGATGTGTGTATGCGGGTCGTTCAGGGATGCAGGTTTGTTCACATTAATGACAGATTTGAGTCCCATACCTACACGAATGTGAACAGTCATGTTAGTAAGGTCAGATCTGAGCAAAAAATCTGGATTTGCGTGTCCACATAGTTCTGACAACATCAGATCTGTGTCACATTATGGCAAAAAATCAGAATTGTGCCACTTTAGCCTGGTAATGTGAACATAGCCTTTAAAATCAGAGCTGTCGGGTCGGATTTCCCATTTGCCGGACTGCGTCATACATCTTTATATATTAACGTCACATGCACAGGCTCACAAAGAAGGTCCGGCTCGATGTTTAGGTCTCAAAAGCAAAATCAACAGTATACTTATGAAGACAATAAAAATTGTAGATAATTCACTTAGACTGTAGATAATTCGTTCACATTACAAGCCTCATTGCTTAAATCCGATTTTTTGCTCAAATCCGATCTCTGTGACATGATGGTTCACACTCGTTTGGGTAAGTGATTAAAATCTGTCATTAATGTGAACAAACCAGTGTCCTGAAATGACCCGCATGCGCACATGCTACTCAGTAACGGCTCGCGCAGTGGAAAAAAACACATGAATTCCAAACACATTTTAGTTACTTAATAATTTATGGAATAGATTTTGAAAAGGTAAGCCTCCCCAGACTTTGGAAAACAGTGTATATAATATTGTAATACTATAAATGCATAAATTTAGGTTGTAAATATTACTTTGTGATTGTGTAACATATTGCGATTCAACATCTGAAAGCTTTGCCTCTGTTAAGCATTATTACTAATGATAATTTACAAATTGTCTTGCTACAGTGTAAAGAAGGGGGCTTCCCTCATGACCTGTGGCTGGGAGTGAGTGCAGAAAACGTGTCTGTTTACAAGAGAGGGGAGCCCAAACCGCTCGAGACCTTCCAGTATGAGCATATCGTCTTCTTCGGAGCACCACAGCCCAGCACCTACAAAATCACTGTGGATGAGAGAGAGATGTTCTTCGAAACTCCTCAGGTGAACACATAAAATTCAGTTTATCAAAAATTACCTATCTTTGCAATCACTTATTTTTCTAATTACATTTTGTCTTCAAAATAGAGCTTGACAGAACACTGAGATCAATCAAAAGAAAGGAATAATTAAAGGAATAGAGTAGGAAAAGGAAACATATTTATAAACTTTTCCCCTTACTCCAAATGCATCGATCAGCAAGGACATGTTTGTAGTGTCTGGAGTCTGCTTCTTTGTGCAGAAGCTATGCGTGCAGTTTGATCAAAAATCTTCCACATCTTACACAAATACTACAGCATACATGACCAGAAACTCAAAAGTCTGTTTAAAAACTTTAAACCAGCTGTTACTTCTTGTTCTGTGGGCACTGCCATGCTGAAATGACATCATGAATCAGCAACTCTGAGAAGTCAGAGCTCTTGAGAAAAAGGAGGAAGTGGGAAAAGCTCCACCTCGTTGTGGAGAGTAGCCAGAAGAACGTGAAAAAATCAGGTTTTGTGCTTTATTCAAACCATTGAAACTATGTATGCTGTTTTTGTGAGACTTACCAGTGAGTTTAGATCTGTTTTTTAAATGTTAATTTTGGCTTTTAGTTTGGGCTTTATAGGTCTCTCTCCATTTAAAAAGATAGCAGCTGTTCTTGTATGACTGAAAATAGCTGCTAAGTGTTGCCAAGACATCTGTCGAGTAGACAGACTTTCCTATAAGGACTTTGGTTATACTTTTGTTAGCTACATTAGCTGCATAGCTACAGTGCATACAAACTTCAGACACCAATCATGATTGACTACATTTGGGGAAAGAGGAAAAATGTGCACATTTTTTGACAAACAATTCTCTATTGATGTATTTCATAATTCAGTAACGCTTTATTCGGATGGTCCACTGTAGATGCTCAGTTTATCTTTAAGTAACATTCAACTAAATATCTATTAAATGCAACTAAACCTGAAGTTGAGTGTGGAAGATTCTATTAAATCTAGCCCTGATCCTAGACCTAACACTAACCCTAACCCTAACCTGCACCTACTCCTAAACCTATAATGTTGTGGATAATCAACTGAGTGTTACTAGAAAGTTTGTTAATGATTTAAGTGTCTGTAGATCATCTATAGGGGACCATCCCAATAAAGTGTGAGCCATAATTCCAGTCTATAGTGTCAAATTATACTCCATTGTGTATACTGTGTATTTAATGTATTCCTTATTGTGTGTGGTTGAAGGTGGGTGAGATCACTAAGATCATGAAGGCTTATATCAACATGATCGTTAAGAAGCGCTGCAGCGTCATGTCCGTCACCAGCACCAGCAGTGATTGGATCAGGTGATCAACACTAGGGTAATCAAGGTGGTGCAATGACAAGAGAGAGGACGTCTCCCTGTTCGACCAAGAAATATAACCACACCTACCTGCTGAGTATGGATATGAGAGAAAAAGAGAGAGAGAGAATGGGATGCAAAATCACTTACACTTGGCTCCGCTTAAACCCTCTTATTTATTCTAAAAGCAACACTGTACTTGTGTCAATTTAGTATAATTTATTTGCCACTACCAGCCACACTTCTATAAAAGCACAACCAAACCTGCCAGTCCTGTCACTGTAAACCTTCCCTCACTGCCAGCACTAAGACTGAAGACCAAGCCTGTACATTCTCCTCTCTTTTCTCCCATCCTCCCAACATTAGCTCTCTCTCAGTGTCAGCTTGTGGTTGATATCATCTCCAGCCCAAAGGACCTGTGACTGAGCCATCCCTGAAAGGTGGGCTGAGTACAAGTTTGTTCTGTTCTCACTTTTCCCCATTTCCTGAAAAGTGAACTCTCCATTAAGAGTCACCGTCAGAGCCATTTTGTAATGCCAGGGCCACTGACGGCCTTTTTGTGATCTCCTCTATCAGCATTAGTGTAAGACAGCCAACGGAGAACTGTCCATCTTTCTACATGCGTGCCCTGGGACTGACCAGAGATCCGAAGTGTAAAGAAATCGTCTAAGAGAGCCACTGTAACTGCGACCATTCTAATGCCAGTGTGCGTTCAATGCTTTCCACACATCAACGTCAAAACTATATTTTATACTTCAGTGTAAATGTGAGTATACTTCATTTAACTGTCTTTGAGTCTAAGGGGGTTAAATTAAGGCATTTTGAGAAATTATGTGGAACCGATATTTAGTCTGCAAGTGAAACAAACAGGATTTAATTCTATTCTTTATATGCCGATGCACAATAGTATGACAGTGAGCGAGTGAACGAGTTTCAGTCACTCTGCAAGAAAACTGCACAGCAATTTTGAAAGCCTCTAGATACCTCCCTGTCCCCAGCACGGCAAGCCAATTTATTACTGAGTGGTGCCACTGGAAATACATCAGTATTATACCAAGCAAGGCTGAGCCTGAGCTGGGGATGACACTGCGACCAGCGTACCGATCTGCTCCATAAATTATGATGACTTTTAGTGTATCGTGAGACATTCTTTTTAAAGTAGTATGTTAAGAATGGAATTAAATAAAATTGAAGATACCATTGAACTAACAACAAGCCAGTGTTAATGCTTTCCATTCTACCATAAAACAGCAGGAAATCACTTCCAAGTTTTTATGTTTTGACTTTAGATGCTGTTCAGACCTGGATCAAATATAGTGAGAAGACTAGGTGTTGGGACAGTAATGTAAGATGGTTGCATATTCAAGTAATTTGTATTTCTGATCAAATGATCAGTATTAAGCTTAAGGACAGAATATTCAGCCTTTATCTTTGAAAGGTATTTTTCATATGTTGGTTCAAAGTTTTTTTTTCCGTTCAGTTCCCCACTGGAATATAAAAGAAACTTTACAAAGAAAAATTATAAACAACAGGAGAAAATGACCCCCAGTACTAGGCACAGGCTATGCTAAACAAATTGTTTTTTTTAATCTAGTTTTAAAAAGACCTGTCAAACTTGTATTCCTAATGTTCTCTGGAATGCTGTTCCAGAGCTAAAGAGCAAGATAATGGAAGATAATGATCTTCCATCAACTTAACTCTTGGTGATCCTAGACATTTGCAGTAAGTCTGCCTCAACTGAACGAAATAGTCTGGACAGGTTATTCAACAGATCAGCAAGACATGCCAGAACTGGGCCATTAAGAGCTTTAAATGTCACATCCAAGACCTTGTAGTCAATGCAAAACTTAGTAAGAAGCCAGCGAAACTAAGACCAGAAACAGACATAGGCTGCTGCATTCTGAACTAGCTGGAGCCTATTTAGAGGGAAAACAGGGCAACTAATCAGTAACTAGTAAAGTCTTACTTCTATTGGATTGAAATGATAAACTAACAAGCATCCAGGGTTACATTTTAGGTGATTCTGTACTGAAGCTTAATATCTGAAATACAAATTTTATGAATATTCCAACAGTATAACCAATTTACCAGTATTTTAAACCATGTGTATTTAGAGGGTTGTCAGCATATCTACTTAATTGACTATAAATATTGGGATTTTAAAGCACTTATTTTACCACAGTCTGGCTATGTGTAGTATCATCAGTATTTGCCTTGGTCCCTTTAAGCCACTAATGAAGTGGCCATAAGTGACTACTAGTCATTAATAACAACTTATATGAACTAATAAATCGCCTACATTAAAGTTGAACCGAGTTAGCATGAGTTCTAAAACAGAAAGTGACATAAACTGAATAACTTGTGTTTTGTTCTGGTTGTTTTCTATTGGAGGCTTCAAATAATTTTATCCTGCAACCAGTTTAAATCAGTACTTCACTCAAAACTGCTAACGTGGCTAACAATGACTGGAAGCTATTGGGGGCCCATTAGCATGTTCTCAAATGCTCTCAGATGCATAAAGTTAATCCATAACACGTTTCCTTTCCTGTTACTAAGGTTGGCCTTTTTGAGTGAAGTAATTTTGTAGCCCTGCACTGCAGCGGAGTCAGAGGCACTGCACAAGATGCGTATCAACATAACATAATTCATATCAACACTCCGAGTGAGTCCAAGTATGCCTGTATTGTCTTTTTTTTTGAAACATATGAATATAAAACTACTGTATCTCCCAACAGTACCTGTGTAATTTTGCTGTTTGATATGCAACTATATTTGTCAGTGTAATGCAAGCTCCTTTGTGTGTGTGTCTGAGAATTTTGAACTTAAAAATGGAACGAAACTAAGTGAGCAAAAAAGGTCCGTGGTTATGACGTCGTGGAGAAATAAGCATATGTGTAAGGGTATTTCTGTCATGGGTGGGTGTTGTGATTGTCCTATGAGGCTCAAAAAAGGCTTTGGGTGGGAGGGGTGGGTGGGTGAAGGGTAGGTGTATTTATTTTTATGATGTGAACGAAGTGAGAAAGGGAGTGGGAGGGACACTGGATTGGATTTAAAGCTGGTGGATGTTTTCTTTTTATGCTGACCTCGGGCGCGCTGCAAACCATAAAATATAGTAACGGAACAAGCCATGGCAATAACAACCTAACAACACCCCTTAACTATGGTAAAAACCCTGTTACATATGGCAGTGACTAGCGTATTGCTTTTAAAATGATGAGTAATTACAATATGATAGTATAAAATGCATTAAGGTTCAATAAATATTTTAAAATATTATTAATAAGCCTCAGATTCTCTGCCCAGAGAGGTACATTGTATACTTATACGGCCACAACCGTCAGGATTTTGTTCATCGTATTCTGATTGGCTGTCCACAATAAAAAGTTCTGTTCAATGTAAAACAGTTTTGCAAACAGTTGCCATAATTTTTGCGCTGTGAGTCTTTTGAAGCAAGATGTAGTCACTGGATTGAAAAACTTTCACTTTGTCACATCTTTAAAACATTCAGCTGCTTCCTTCAAAACATTTGAAGCTAGTAAGCGAGATATAGTACTATACTGTAGTGCTACTACTAGATATAGCATCATAGGAATGTCCATTTTGACTCATTTTGATATTTCAAGTAGCCGTGAGAGTTAATGAATGGATAATTGGTTAACTGCAAGAAGGAAAAGACAAAGCAAAAAAAGCGAAAAGAAAAAGGAAACGCATGTTGTACTACATTTGAAAACATATTTGATTATTCATAAATAGCTGAGAGAAATCTGTAGGTTTGGATGAGTTGTATGAGTTGGATGTTGGATCAGTGGCCTATGCTGGCTCTTCAGAAAAGCTAGCTAATGAGTACAGCGTTTGATGCCAATGGAGACTCATTGTCTTCTTGGCCTTTTCGCTTGAGTAGTTGATGTTTGTCAGATAAATATATCTGTGTCTGGACCAGCTAATATCTGCTAGAGTAGCCTAGTTTGCTAAAAGGTTGCACCAGAGCTGACTGTGCTCTCTTTGACTTCTCAGTCATGTCTTTAATGGGTCCTTGGCAACATGCTCATGTTAAGGCACTTGTTTTAGCACAGTGTGATAGAATGTTCTTACTTATAAAAACAAGCAAAACTGTCACATTTTACAATCCATTTAACGATTGCTGTTTCACTGAATTATTGTATATTTTCTACGTCTCCTCTTGATTAAATGTAATAATTAGCTGAATAGTGATTTCAGTATTTGAATAATGACACCTCGAACGGTAACCGAGTACTTGAGTACCCGCAAACACCCTTAGTTTATACCACTTTTTGCATTCGCCCCGCATTGAAAATTGCCTGCTCCTTAAAAAGATCGCACAGGAAAAGTCTGTGGTTGGTGTTTTGCATGCAAGTAGACAGTTCTTTGCCACATATTAAGTGACAAAACGTACCAGACTCTCTGTCTATAGGCAGAGCTTGTGAGACTAGAATACTTAGCAGTGGGCTATGGTTTATTAATATATGTTTATAAATAAGCGTAAGCACATTAATACAAAATCCAGTTGATGTGTAGCTTTGAATGTAACTCAACCAATCAAATTTAATTATTGGCCTCTTAATCTTAATCAGTTATTAATTAGTTATTAGCTTTTCATCAAGTATGAATTATTTAGTAATTTCTGTGAAACAAATGTATGTTATCAGAGTGAGAAATTGAGCTGTGAGCCCACATACAGACCCAATTAAATGCTAAACAATGAAGGCAGCCGGTCCAAGGTCAGTAGAAAAGGGCTATTTTCACCAGCTCTGGAACACGGTGTGGACACTGTGGTCGTGTGATGAGTGTTAGAGATCTGTATGCACAGGAATGTCGTGTAATGAAGGAGTGTGTGTGTGTGTGGGTGTGTGAGGGTGTGATGGTGTGTTAAATACTATCACACTATTGTTTCATGTTGAAGAGTCACATTATTGGGTTGCTTACATTCAGTGTTGTTCATTAATGGACTGAGCAGCCAGGATGTTCTCGTTATCACCTAACACACAAACACACACGCATACAGTAAACACACACATGCATGCAAACACATCGAGAGCCACACACACACACACACACACACACACACACAGTTGGTTCTGTCTCTCTCACTCTTTACACTGGGGTCCTTGCTCAGCTGCAGGCAGCAAATAAAGGGCCTGAATGTAATTCTTCCTCATTGTCGTTCTTATATGAGTATATATAATATTTAAAAATAATAACAATAACTGTGCTTGTTTAAAAGAGAGGAAAATGTTTTGTTCTTTTTGTTTTCTTTTTTTGTAACTGGCTTTACAAAATGCTTTAATAAATTATTGGAATTTATCACCATAGTAATTTGTGTAATTCATTTCCTTGTAATTATGTGTGTGTGTGTTATTGTGGTGTTTTAGTGTTACTGTACACTCATCAAAAAAGGTGAGGACACATTCTTTAAAACTGGTTAATAATTAAGGAGGAACAATTCAGTGAAGAAAAGCAGTCATAGCCAATTCCACCCACTATTTCAGCCTCCCCATCACACAATGCCACTAGGCTGGAGGGTGAAGGCATCACTGGACAGCTCAACACACTTGGAGGAGAACACTATAATAATAAATGCTTCAGGGGTTGTACCACTTGGGAGCTCCTAAAATAGTAACTGTTTCACAACACAATGGATTTGATTAGCAAATTTCAGAAGGAAATGACCTGAGATGTCTTCTGAAGTATGGGTTGATTTGAATTGACTCTTTTGTCCAGGTTGTTCCATTCAAGTTCTACTAAATATAGGTGTGGACAAAGGGTGGAGCAAGTCATTAGGGCGTGTTTCAGGTTGCTATCTTGTTAAGGAATGACGGACAGCTGGAATATCTCATGTAATCCTGAAGGAATGTCCTGTCTTTGAAGCAAGCATTAGTCATACACTTGATAAAAATGACTAAGTCACTAGTGAAGCAATGCCAGACCATGACGTTGCTCCCTCTATACTTGACAGTAGGAACCATACGTCACAGTCATTTCAAGTATTTGTCTAGTTGGACCATAAATATTTCCATTTTTGACCCATCTGTTCGTAAAATGACAAGCATCCCTTTTGCTCAAGGTTCTATGAGAACTATGTCTTAATCTACACTATTAACAAAGCTATGCACAGATTTTTATGTCTAGGCCTCTTCTAGTTGTAGTATTGAATTGTTCTCATATTTCCTCACTAGTTCTGCAGTCTTGAAAGAACTTGATCTGAGATTCTGAGGATGGTTCAATCCTGTTCAGTCCTCTTGAGCTTTTGTTTTTTCAGTGTCTTGAACAGAGGCATTACAGACTGCTTACCTGCAAATATAATGCCCTTTTTGGTGTTACATTTAAAATACATCCTGACAAAATATTAAATAAAAAGATAAACCAATTGTTACATGTCTCAGACTTTTAAAATAAATCTCTTCACCTTGCTGGTTCATATAATCACATCATTTAAGAGAGAAATATTCTTCTTTTCTCGTAATCTTTAATCAAAATGCAGTGACTTTCACCCAACTTTAAAACGTGCTGATTTTTGGTGATGTCACTGTACCAGCAGGTGTGGAAAATTATATATGTGTATTATAATAATTATTACATATCATAATAATAAAAAGTAACATCATGTTTCACTTCCTCCTACTACCACCCAAACCTATTATCGAGAGAAAACAGTCAGTTAGCTCAGAGATCCTGTCTTGGGCTGAAAGTCTCCTTGCTTTGGGTGACTTTTGTTGAATGTCCATTTTTATGTAAAAATGACAATTCTGAAAAGAATTCACTTATGATTAGCAGCTTAATGATACACATAATACACTAAATAAAAAATTTGCAGAACTATAAAGAAGTAGCCATTTAACATGTAGATAATGAATATAAACCTCTAGTCTCATATGGAAATCTGATGCATGACCATATATGAACATGTATCATAAAGTGACAGACATATATTGTTAAATATATGTACATAAATGTAAGTGTCAAATATTGGGTATATATGCACAATATGAACCATACATTATTTAAGCATGTCAGGAAACAATATGTTCATTTATTATTTAATGTTTTAGTGATTTTTGCATGCATGGCTTACAACATGCATGTTTTTAGAATTTAGTTATGTAGCTATTATAATCATTTTTCATCATTGGGAAGTATGTGGAAGAAAGAAAGATGTATACAAACCTCATATAACACAAAGCTGGCATATATGAGTAATATATACAATTCATATATAAATGTTTTCTGTCATATATGTGTATATATTGAACATTATACATTTGTATATGTTGATGGTAAAACTTTTGGAGTGGTTGAGTGTTTGTTTCATCTAAACAGGACCATTCACAATAAGAGCAGTCTGAGTGGATCAGACACAGCAGTGCTGCTGGAGTTTTTAAACACCTCAGTGTCACTGCTGGACTGAGAATAGACCACCAAGCAAAAATATCCGGCCAACAGCATCCTGTGGTCAGCTTCCTGTGACCACTGATGAAGGACTAGAGGATGATTAACACAGACTGTGCAGCAGCAGATGAGCTATCGTCTCTGACTTTACATCTACAAGGTGGACTGACAAGGAAGGAGTGTCTAATAGAGTGGACAGTGAATCTCTTCATCCCTGTGTTCCACTCAGTGATCTCGGCCTGTTCTCAGAAACACAAAAGAACCTCAGAGAACAACCTGAATCAGAGTGAGATCATGTGACAGCTCACCCAGCTCCTCCTCCAGCACCAGCCAAAACAAGTCTGACTGCGAGGAGAAGGTGTTAGCAGACATGGACTTTTAACAAAGACATCATACTAAGTACTTGGAACTTCTGCCTTTGTAATTTTTCGTAAAGGATACAACACTCAGAGACCGAATACCGTGTGTGGAATTAGTATTTTGAAGAAGAAAACATGATGTGGAGGAACTACGTTTCTCTGCTTCTCCTCCTCTTTGGGTTGAGCACCGTCTGGGCGCAGACCGCCTCACCTGAAAAATGTAAGACGCTCTTAAATCTTTTTTCCCATTCGTAAAGATAAAAATTAATATTGTTTTTTGGACCTACATGTACATTCACTGTCATTTTACAGAGAATATCGAGCCTGAGTAATGAAGCACGTTGACTGTTGAATTATTCACTGTCAGGATTAGCATGTTTGCTCCTTCCTTCAGCTGAGGTGTGGAGAGTTGCCTGAAGCCAAAGTCAAAGAAAAGTGTTGCTTCCTGAGAGAAATAGTGACTCAAGTAAAGATAATTTTACCTAGTTAGGTAAAAAAATTAGTCAAGTGAAATTATTGTTACTTCAGTGAAAAGTAACAGTAAAAGTAGCTTTGAAAAGGGATGAAATAAAACTTCAGTCAGTGTAATAAAGTACACTTGGTCAAAAAACTCCTCAAGCACAGATTTCCCCAAAGAACTGCAATTAAACTTCTTAATACATCCGTCATCTATCCACATAGAAACTTTTGTCAGTTGCTTTTCTTCTTTCGAGATCTTTTGTGGTCTGAAATAAAGTGCTGAAGCTCAGAAGTGAGAGGTGAGTAACAGCAGAGGAGTCCAGAGGCTGAACCAACAGAACAGAATGAAATAAAACCCCAAACAAGAAATTTGACCTGAGGAAAATGTATATTATTTCCTTACAGATATAATGTGATTTAAGAAAAAGTGTGTTTGAAAAGACTCAGAAAATCATAAATCCATCAGATGATAGGTTTTGTTTGTATTACATTCTCCTGCAGTCTAAAGCCTTAAGGTTTTTGTCTATTGAGGTACATGAAGCAATTAGGAACAGTTTTATCACAGTCCAGTCTTATTTTTTTCTAATGCCTGTGTTGTCGAACAGACCTAAGACATTGTAAAATGTCTTCCTTGCTTGCTGTTATTCCTGTGGGCTTTATGTCGCATACCTCTTAAATGTGACTATGACAACCTCAGGGTGCACAGAGGTGTTATTTGCTGAACAGACGCACAGGCTGTGTCCGAAAGCCTCGTCCATGCTTATACTGGTTAAACCAACCGTTTGCTTTTCTCTCTTCCTCTTTCTCCAGATTGTGAGAACAGCACAACCTGTAACGACTGCTTGAACAACGCTTCAGTAAGTGGCCTGGTTTTGCTTATAGGACCCATTATTGTAACTTCTGTTTTAGCTTCAATGAAGTCAGTGTTGAGTGGTTCAGTTTATGTACTCGATCTTATGTAGTCTATTATTTCGGGGACAGTTCAGCCCTTTTCTGTGATTTTCCTGCGAGGACAGTTATAGGTAAAAGAGAAGTGACAATAAAGGCATGTTTGAAGTTTAGAGAAAGGAGAGAACAGGTCAGCGTGTGACATTTAGGGAAATGAAATGAGAAAAATGGAGGCTTAGGAATGTGGTGGAGGTGCTTTGGATATGCTGTGTGTATCAGTTGATCACATTGCCACCAGCCTCACCTGTGGAACAGGTTTGGTTGTGTGTGTGTGTGTGTGTGTGTGTGTTTCTTTTCTGGTGTTCAAGTTATAATGTGTGCCCTACATTTCACCCTTTCACTGCCCTTGGATTTCACAGGCTTTTAAAACTAAGGTCCAGATTTATCCTTAAAGTCAACCTGAAAAAAGAATGGCCCTTTTCGGACCTTTTTGGATGCTTCCGTTTGTTCATGTTCCTGGTCATATTAAGTGTGATTCATCGTATAGTATCATTTAAAAGACAAAATCCTTCCATCAAAATGTAATGCGGCCTCTTAAGCATCTTTAATCTCACGGAGCCAGACGTGATATTATATCAAGAACGTGTGGGGACAATCGTGAGAAACGTTTGGGCTTCGTAAAGGTGTAGCTGAAAGTAGGGGGCGGTAGGGGGCGATGGCGTGCTCAACACATTGTCCAACAGACAATAAGCCTGTTGTTTAACCATGGAGGTAATGTAAGTTAGCATGGCTGAAAAGTACCCCAAAAACTCCACTTTAGCAAATGGATGTGTGTTGCGGTGGGCAGAGATCACATTACATGAAGTAAAATAGTACACAGGGACAAGCAGTCCTATTGAACCAGAAGATACTTTAGCTTTAGGCGCCGTCACTGGTCTGATGATGAAATTTGTGGGTTACCAGTGGCTGTATGTGGCCTCTGGTGCTGACAGAGTACATGTGCTGTGGGAAGAACTGCCAAATGTTCAGGAAAAGACAAGCCATCAGAATTGCATTCAAGCTACATGGACTAGAGGAATTGGGGGGCTGTTTTAGAGGGGGCATATTCTTGTTGATGGTGGATTTCGCTGTAATCCATATCCAAATGTTATGTATTCTTGTTAGGAGGTCACGTCTGGGCCCGTGAGACTAAAGCTTCTTCTAATTTTTAGTTACGTCACCATGCATCGGTGGGTGAGGAAAACATTATACGCCACCTATCAGCTAGAAAAATGGCTTAGCTAAAAGACCCTCATTGATACGGTGTTTCACTTGAAAATGTGTTACGGTACAGGAGGAAAGTGCATTATGATAGCAGATTCACATTAAGAACACAAAAGTGTAAAATACTATGGACATACAGAGTGTATTTGCTTAGAATGCCTAAATGACTGTTGTGGTTGAAAGGTGTGACGAGACATAAATACAGGTTTCGTGTTATTGAAACAGTTCCCCAAAATCATTCAGAACCTTTCAGCATTTAGCCCTTGTGCTCTATCATAGTTGTGCAAACATTAATTAGTTGGTATAATCACTGTTTAAGAAGCTCCACTCCATAATTAGAGAAAAGCAAACTGCTTTTCTGCTACTCACTTGTCTGTGGGACAGATGCAGAGTGGATACATAAATATTCATTTTTTTGCATTTATTTTTGTCGGTATATAAGAGTCCAGCACATTAATTAACCCAAACATAAATCTCCTGGCCAGCTGGCTAATTCAGCTGTAGTTCCTGAGGCCTGATGTTATTAGCCCTAATTTAAATAAACAAAATAGCAGTTTATATACGGCCAAACTACCATAACAAACTCAAACCATACCACAGGCAAAACTATGAAAGGTTGTCTTGAAGAATCAGCTGACAGAAAGTTAACCATCCATATTTAAAGCTCTAGTGGTCAGTCAGAAGTGGCTCCTGATGTAGTAGAACTGTTGCATTGTGTACAGGATGCCACATTCATATATAGAGGAAAAAAACTACAAACCAGAAGTGTGGTTTTAATATTATTTCACTGTTTATGCACTTGATCACTTTATTATCAAAATGTAGGACGTGTTAGATTATTTTTTTTTACTTCAAAAAACAATATTAGGGCTCAAAACTAGCCTACAACTTTACATTCACTTTTACTCTGAACACCTAAATTTGCTTGTGTTTTTAGCAGCCAACAGTAGCTACGTTTCCATCCAAATGATTTTTTGCAGAAAAACTTTGTAGCATTTAAAAAAAAATTGCTGATGTTGGCTATGAAAGTGAAAATTGTCAGTAATAATTGTATTTATGTCAACGAAACATTTTTCCGTTCAACCGTTTTTTTATAATGAAATACGTGAAATGTTGCAAAAACGTTTTAAATGGAAGTGCTCAAACAGCTCTACTGGGCAGAGAAACATGATCTCTCATGTAATGGTTCCGAATAACTTTCCTTATTAGTAGGTTATGGGGAAGTCTGGGAGGCCGAAGGTACACAAGTTTCGACATGTATGAAATTGAATCAGGAAACAAATGAAAAACCACTTTTCTGTCAGTAAACTAAAGCTTAAGCAACAATAGTTTTGTGCAGGAAATGATGTCATTATGTAAAGCATATACTTATTGGTAGCTTGTGCAGGAAGTTGGAACCATGGCTAGAGAGGAAAGCAAATGAGCTCGCTGAAATGACAAAGCAGAATGACCTTAAACAGTGAGTTATCACTGCAGGCTTTAAAAATATATAAATAACTAAAAAAAAAAACTAAAAATACTCCTAAAATAAGCTCACATAGGTCTCTACTAGGCTTTTTATTTTTTAACTGGTCTGGAATAAAACAGAGACCAGTCTGTGTGTTGTGTTATTTCAGCTCTACCTTATCAGTATCGCTATATTTATACCTCATATCACAAAGGGGAGTTGACACAGAATTCAAGTGAATAAAATGCAAATGTAGCTGAATTTAAGATCATGTGTTCTTTTTCTTCCGCAGTGTTTGTGGTGTATAAAGACCTCATCATGTTTGACGTATCCTGTCAAAACCATCCTGCCTCCCTACTCTCTCTGCCCGCTCAACGATGCTCGCTGGGGGGCGTGCTCCAGTAAGACTACAGCAGTGCTTCTCTCAGTGCTTTTGTATTGTTGCTGTTTCTTTTTCTCCCTTTTTCCCTGTGCTCTTCATGATCCCCATTAAGAAAAGAAATCACACATGAAAATACTGATAAAACACTGCTGATAACAGTGTTTTTTCCAGTGTGAACCACATAAAACCTCAGAGTTGATTCCGTATTGTAACCCATTTCTGCTCTAGCTTGCTGGTATTTTGCCACTGCCATATCAAAACCTCACAGTTCCATTCTTTCGATGCCATTTGATGAAGCTGCCCTTTATATCATGTAAACATTTCACTACAAATGGATCAATAGAGTCAAATGAAAAAGGTTTGTGCCCCCCAGGTCAAATTACATGTTTTGATGAAAATAACTTCTATGCCCTCTACAGAGAACACACTACACATTTTAGTTCACAAATACTGTTTATTAGCTGAATTTAACAAATTGGGGAAAAATAAAACAGAAAATGTGGAAAATTGCAAAAGTTATGGCACGTTTCAGGTTTTTATCATTATGTTAAACTCATCAAATATATAGGAATTGTGCACTAAAATTTGCAGGAAAATGCCAATTTTTTTTGTTCCCTGTAGAGAATGTGTGAACTTATTTTCACTTAGAAAGTCAACAAAACATGTAATTTGACCCAGTGTGTTCAAACCTTTGCATACGGCTGTAGAAATGGTCCAAAATGCCTGGGGATTGATTACAACATTAATGATTTATTTGTCTGAAAGGTACATATCTTGGAAACTTGGGCTGAAATGCTCAGTACATATTTGCACCAATTCATATCATAGCATTATCTTGCTAACAGATACTAAAAGGTGAGGTTAAGAGTGTTCCGCCATCAGTAATCTGTCTCTTACTTCACTTTCTTTTTCTTAATTTCTCAGTAAACTTCCAGGTCCTGATCATTACGATCTCGGTGGTGGCGGGGGTCCTCATCATCTCCTTCTTCTTCTGCCTCTTCTGCTGCTGCAAGTGTGAAAACTGCGGGTGAGTGCAGCCTTAGCTAGCAAACAACTACACAAACACCAAACACAAGTCATTCAGAGTGGTTTGATGTGGAATTGTTCATTGTAGAAAAACTTACAGACACAAATTTCAGTGGTGGTGATAAGAACCAGGGGTCAGAATGTCTACAACACAAATATATTACCCAATTTACTATCCAAAACTATCAGTAAACCCACACGTGTCTTCTGAGTTTTTATATGTAATGTTTACAGTAAAATAATGGTAAATCTGAAAGAATGTGTTTTACTTGGGGAGTATTTTGCTGTACAACACCCTGCATGTATCTCTCTGCCAGGGGTGCATTAAAAAAAATGTACATTTTAGGCCAAAACCTTCTCAAAACTAAAGTAAAACAATGTCTCAGACGTCAGGCAGAGTATTCATAAGCACTTCATGTAATAGCTTTCTGTGGCAGAGTTTTTAGAGGCATTAAACTCTTGAGACGTCTGATTCCTATCAGCAACACCTCGACAAGTTTCTCTAGAATAGAGCATTTTAAATCAGACCTCTCTGAAAGACTTTAACCTCTATTAATGCAGACATTTTGAAAACAAAAATGTGGCATCTCAAGGTTTGACTGTTCGAACAAGTTAAATTTTCATTGTTTCACATTCCACAATCTGTCCTAAACCCTCCAGATCCTCAAACTTTGAGCACAAGATGCAGCGGCAGGCGGAGAAAAGGAAAACCAAACAGGAACAGCGGTAATTTTTTAATTCCAACTGGATGAATCTCAGTTGTCTACATACTTAATATGCTAAGAACTTTCCCATCTACATACAGTGTCTTATCTGGCCATGTGTTTGTGCACTGTGACTCATTTAAAGCACAATGGAAACAACTGACTATCCACAAATGTTCTGGCTTCATTTACATTATAATACACAGCATTTTACACCTAAATGTTTATTCACAGGTATTGGTTTAGTTGTTACATCATTTTTTATTCTTCACAGCTCTGTTTCTTTTGCATGCCAGAGAAAAGCAAGTCCCAAGTCATTCTCTTACGCATAATGGCCACATTACGCACACGCACACACACACACGCTGGCTCTCTGTATTAGCCTCTGCATATCTTGGGGACAAAAGGCTGAGTGCCACTGTGAAGTTGGACGTCACTAAAAATTTTCCAGCACAGACCGGTTTGGCAGCCATGCTGGACCGAGATAATCAACATTTCTGGAGTCACGTGTGTGTGTGTGTGTGTGTGTGTGTGTGTGTGTGTGTGTGTGTGTGTGTGTGTGTGTGTGTGTGTTTTTACAATAAGAATACATTTGCTTCTTTTTGCAGGAAAGCCGAGATGAAAATCAGACATGACGAAATCCGGCAGAAATATGGTAAGCAGAGTCAAAAGTATGGAAGCCCATTCCCACCAGGTGGAGAAATAATCGGCTATGATTTTGTGCAGCAGCATGTCAAATGTTTGACTTAGTATTTTGAAATAATGCCACATTGACTAATTATGTCAAAAAAAATGACTTAGTATCTCAAAAAATTATTTTCTCAAAATGTTGACTTACTATGTGGTCAAGTCAAATGTCTAAAAAATTATTATTTCAAGATAAAAAGTCAATATTTTGAGAAAAGTCAGTATTAAAAGATACGACCAAAAGCAGAAAATTTAAAAATTTAAACATGCGATTTTTTTTTGTCTGGGCTTCCGTACGTAAGCAAAGCCTTCTCACACAGGTATACCTCACTGCACAGACATTCACAGATGATGATGAAAAGACTCTCCTCCATCCTCTGAAACTTTTTAGTTCAAGGCCAAAACCTTTTAGCCTTTAATCCAACAGAAAATAGGAAAATTGCTGTAAAATAGTTTTAAAATGACTGTTCATTAAGAGTTAATTCAGTCTTGCTCCCCCTAGTGGTGACAGTATGTTTTTCACTCTTCTCATTGAAGCTGCTCTTCTAAGGAGCACTTAAACAGTGAAGTACATGTTTGTAATTTCATTATTTTACATTGGAAGCACATATAATTCCCCTGCCTTAAAATCCATTCACATCCATTATGTTCCTTCTTTCCAGTGCAGTGCTAAAGTAAACAGGAAGTCATAATGTGACAAGGCAACAATGAAGTCTCTGCTAACCTCTCGAACATGTGGTTACAAAAGTGTATTTACAGCACTGTGAAAAAGGCTGATGGAAATTTCCATGAAGTGGTCTTATTCAGTAAGACACACAAACACTCCTGAGCTGTGTAAATGTATCTCTCTCTCTCTTTCTCTCTCTCTCTCTCTCTCTCTCAGGTCTCAGCAAGGCCAGTCCTTATGCTAGGTTTGAGAATCCTGCCTGAAGAGAAGGATCATTACATGTCTTGCCATCAAACCTTCAAATTACACAGTGAACTGCCTTTTATAAAATTTTCAATTATTATGACTTTTTTTAACCTGATCGTGTCTGATTTCAGTAGCTGTATTGAACTGTAAGCCCACCTTTAAAGATATCAGAGTTTTCTTGCAGACTGACTTTTATATGCTCAGCATTTTGAACGTGTTTCATGGGGCTGCTTACCTGGGATTTTTCTTCTACATGTTTTTTTTTTTGAAGACTGCTGTAAGATTTAATGCTATTTATAGTAATCACAGAATGCTCTGTGCTCTTACGTGTGCGAGGTTTGACTGTTAGAATACAATAAATGCAAAACAGTTCAATAAAAGTGAAATGTGTTAATACACATAACTGAATGTGGTTTTTGTTCTGGTGCAGTTTTTTCACACAGCTGTTTTGAAGGGCCAATATCGTACTTTTTTCTTGTATTTCTTTACTTGATGCCAATTTATAACATTAGTTTTATGTACCAGTGAACAATTCATTTTTACATGTTTTAAACAGGCTTTATATTTTACTGCATTTTTAAAACTAATATATAGTAAGTAAATAAATAAACTTTATTTGTAATTAACTTTTCTGTGGCAAAGTGCTTCACAATATGAAATTAAAACAAAATATTAAGACAAAAAACAATAAAATATAATAAGATTATTTGTAAAACCTTTAACAATATAAAACATAAAATAATAAATGCAACAAAATAGCAAAATTAACTTTTCTGAGGCAAAGTGCTTCGCAATATGAAATTAAAACAAAATTTTAAGACAAAAAACAATAAAATGACTATAATAAGATTATTTAAAACTTAACAATATAAAACATAAAATAATAAATGCAACAAAATAGCACAGATACCTGTGATCACAACTCATGAAAATGAATGAATAAAAATGGGTTTTATGCCGTCTCTTAAAAGTGAACATGGAATCAGAAAGTCTAACATTTAGGGAAAGACTGTTCCAAAGTTTAGGGGCACAAGCGGCAAATGCACAGCTCCCCCTTCTGCACTTCAGTTTTGTTCTTGGAACAGCTAAAAGCCCCTGATTAGAGGACCTCAGAGACCTGACACTTGCACAGAGGGCCAACATTTCACAAATATACTCAGAAGCTTCACCATTCAATGCCAAGTAAGCAAGCACCAGTAATTTAAAATTAATTTTAGCAAGCAAAAACTGGCATATGTGTAGTAAATTTATGTCAGAATGAGAGGAAATAAGTAGTCATTTGTATTTGCAACACATTTTGGACATTCTGATACTCAGTATTTGGATTGTGGATTTTAGCATATTACTTGAAATTTTTGGCAGAAAATTAACTTTTCTGGAGGCCAAACACTGGACTACTGTGATCCTTACGTCTAGTCTTTGTAAGAAGACCAGCAGCTGCATTTTGGGCTAATTTAAGCAGAGCTAGAGCTCCTTGATTAAGGCAAGTAAATAAGGCAAAAAATAGGGCCAAAAAATAGGGCAGGATAGGATCTTATTTCCAATAGACACTGAAAATTTCTGCTTGATAGATAAGATAGATAACCAAGAAGGACACTCCCTGATATGCCACCCCAATGACTACTTCACCAAGAAACTATAATCAAAAGTATCAAAGGTCAGGCAGTACTAAAACATGGACCTCCTCTCAGTCAGCATGCATTAGAAAGCCATTTAAAATTCTCAAAATAGCTGTCTATGTTTCCGTCGAAATCCAGATAGAAACTTTCCAAAACGTTTGAAATAAAAGGCAATTCTGAGGTTTAAAATTACTGCGATCAAGTAGTCAAGGCCAGGTTTATTAAGAAGAGGCTAAGCAGTAGCCACTCTATAGTAAGGGATACATTCACAATTTCTTGTAAATAGGCAGTAACAGAATCCAAAACAAATTGGATCGCAGGGGCAAGATGAAGGTTGCAAGGTCCACACAGTCCCTATATGTAGATGAGCCCTGTTTATTGAGTATTATGCCTCATTCAAAAATTAGTCTGAGCTGAAACGCTCTTTACAGCTTCAGGATGGGTGGAGCTAAACTGCTGTAGGCCGAATAGACAGATATATGTAAATGTGTTGGGTTTTTTGTAGCTAAAGAGTAAACAGCTAATGTCAATGCTAATGTAAAAATGTTTACATTCCACATCAAACCCTTTTATTTAAAAAAAAAGCTAGGATAATTCCGCTTCTCATGATATGCTCTCTTCAAGGCTCTTTTTAGTCCTGTTTGATTGGATTTAGTGCAGCACAGTGTGTGAAATTATGAATGCAAGTAATTGGATTCATTGTTTTGAGAGTATTTTTAAAATGTGGGCCCACTTTGTCTGTTCTAATTAATCAGGTGTCAGAAAAAATTAATATTGTGACACATTGTGTATTGTAAAAAACATCCTCAAGTATTATGATACTACATTTTGCCATATTGCCCACCTCTTTTTGCATCAATCACTATGCGTCCTTGTTTATTCAAAACAATACATTATCTTTGGATTTTGTTCAAATGGGACAAAATATACTTGGATGGCCATCAATATACTGGGAGGGGTGCTCAGATAATGTGTGGGAAATACTGAAAAGAACATGAGGGTCCATATTCATAAAGCTTCTCAGAGCAGGAGTGCTGATCCACATGTTTCAATCAGTGAGGTCATCAGAAAGAACACAGGAATCTGATCTAGATCAGCGCCCCTCCTGAACACGGAGGAAAAACAGAATCAAACCTATATTTGCTTTTCCAGAGAAGAAGAAATATTCTAAATGACATCTTGTCTTAATCTCAGGTGTTTCTCCAAGACATGGTCCTGTTCAGTCAGATTTTGAGCCATTTCTCCTGTTTCTGAAATTCAGCTCCTGAGAAATAACCTCCAGATTTTCTCACTTTGACCAAAATATTGTCACACATATGGACTAACTCTATACTGTCTGACTCATCTCTCCTTAGTCAATATTTCCATTAGGAAAGTGTAAGATCTCATCATTTTCTCATATAGCTCCATTCTTTCAGCAGTCAGCGTAGAAGGAGCTTTTCTCATTCATCACCATAACTTCTTACACTGAAATGCTGATGTTAATCTCTCGTTTTCTCCTAAGAGGGGTTTAAGAGAAATTATTCAGAAATCAGAGATCCTTTATTAATTTATTTCTTTGAGACAATCTTAAGAAAAAGATTTTGTTTCCTCTGGGTTGGCGCCCAAATAGTTTTGGTAGTTTCGGACTGTCTAAAAGTAGGAATATTTGAGAATATATATTGAGAAGAATAATTCAGTGCGTGTAAGTGATGAGACTTTAAAAATGGGGGATTTATCAAGATCATGACCATAAAAATCTATGGCAGTAAATATCTGTTGAGGCCTACAATGTGTGGCCGATCCCTCGCCCCCTAGTGGTCAAGAAAATAACCGCTCGGCTCATTAGAAACATAATTGTCTTATGTCACTACCTTTATGTGTAAATGGTCGACTGTGCTGACACCACTTAAGAGTCCATCGGTTATGTTCGTTATAACCGCTTAGCTCACCCGAAATAATAATAATCCGAATTAGTATCTCTGTGCTTAAACTGGGCGCGCCTTTTTCTCTCTGCGCGCGACCCAGCTCTTTTTTTTCCACCCTCAGAAGAAAGAAGCGCGCACGAGAACGCGCCGCGCGCTCCCGCCCAGAGAGCACCACGTGATGCCGTGACGTCCAATCAGAGGCGGAGGAGGTAAAGAGAGGCGCGTGCTCGTGGCGGCCGGGCGGACAGGAGAAAAATCACACAAACACGGTGAGGAGCGACCTGCGGAGAAACGGGACAAAATGTCTGAGGATAAGCCCAAGGTGAGCCGCCGGTTCGCTGCCTCACTGTCGATCAGCGGGGCGGGTTAGTCCGAGCGTGTATTTGTCTGGATGTGTGTTCGCGAGGGTGAGAGAGAGAGCGCGAGCGCCGAGTTCCGTTTTCATTTTGTGCACACGGCGGGTTGCGCATTTGTGCGGGAAAATGGAAGCCAGCGTGCGGCCGCGGGGTTTTTCCACTCTCCTCTCAGATGTAGATTAAACTCTTAAATAAGATTTTTTTGTAATCTTGGCCTTTTAGGCTCGAACGAGGCGTCTTCCATTGAAAGTGCGCCGTTGTTTGGCTCCTCTGCGCGGGTTTTTCTCGTTGCCGTGTAAAAGCTCAGCGTCGTGCTTTGCGGCTTTTCCTTTGTGAAAGCGAAGTGGCGCTACGAGAACAGCGCAACGGGCCGCCGACTCGAATCGACAAAATCTGACCAACATGGACTTCTTTTACACCAACCACTACATTTCTGCTTGATTTTAGAGGTTTAAGTCATTAAAATGAGGGTATTGAATGTGAGGAGGTTGTGTTTGGTAGCTGCTCTAACGCAGGAGCTTCGCTGCACCAGATGCGAAAATGGCGCACGACGGCGGCCACAATAACGACGCATCGTTTTACCGCGAGCCGGTAGATGGTGTGTTGGCCGCTGGCGAATCTTATTTTATTTAATTTTTATTTTTCCGACGCTATTTTGAGCCCTGATGGCCACGAGGGGGGAACCTGGTCGCAGCTCCAGCCGATTAACTTTCACTTTTTGACGAAGCTGAAATCAGCTTCTCTTCTTGATCGAATTTTCCCGTTCCACCTTAAATGGTGCAGCAGTTCCATTCTGGCGCCAGAATAGAACTGCACCATTTAAGGTGGAACAGGGAAAACTCGAATAAGAAGCCGGCGAATAGCAAGCCGATTGCAGCCTCGTTAGATTTTGGGGGGTTTGCTGCACAGTTTATGGAGGAAAACAAGCGATTAAACTAGCCTCGAAGTGCTTTTTACACTTTTTAAATCTTTTTATTTCTCCCATCGGATGTACCGTCACCCTAAAAGCACACTTATTTTATGATCTCTGCGTTAAAAGTACACAAACCCACCAGTCTCAAATTGCATTCGTATCTGAGGACCCAAAGCACAAAACCTGCACTTAATCAGAGCATGTGGTGGACCCCCCTCCTCTCTGGTGCTAATCCAGGATGGGTACATTGAGATGGGTAATTTGTGTACAAACTTAGATGTTGACCTTTGACTGGCAGCCATGTGGCATTTGTATATGCTTTAAATGTTCAAACATCTCACAAGGACTTCTCTGCATATCTTTCAGGAGGGAGTGAAGACGGAGAACGACCACATCAACCTGAAGGTGGCTGGACAGGATGGCTCAGTGGTCCAGTTCAAAATCAAAAGGCACACACCTCTCAGCAAATTAATGAAAGCGTACTGCGAAAGACAGGTGTGTACCTGACCATTTTTGTCTGAGAGATTGGTGGCAGCGTTTTATTGCAATTGTGTACCTTGGATACTTGAAACTTACGTATATGTTGATCTAATGCTGTATTAATGGCATTGTTTGCTCTGTGTCTTGCAGGGATTGTCAATAAGACAGATTAGGTTTAGGTTCGATGGACAGCCAATTAATGAGACAGACACACCGGCACAGGTGAGCATATGACGATTTCCCTTACATGGACCTTTAACAGAATCTGAAATTGAATCAGTTCTTCTCTAAAGATTATGCAGTAGGGAAGTGAGATGCAGTAATGTGGGAGGAAGAACATAACATTCTCTACAGAAATAAACATTAGGTGAGGTGTTATGAATGAAATGCCTTCATGGCATCATAGAAATGTATTTCTAGTTACATTTAATAATGATCCGGGGTTGCACTTCAAACTGGCTTGGTAACTTCACCCTCATGCACATGCTCAGTGTGTTTGTAAATTCTGGAGTCTTTCCTGCTTACCTGCATACCTTACCTTACCTAGGATGCTAGCTGATTAGCAACAATCTAGTTAAGGTAATGGCAACAGGCTTAACTATGCCTGCATAATTGATAAGTAGCCTCTTGAGGACAAAGTAGCTTAATAATGTTTATTATAAATGAAACGTTTAAATGGTTTGGATGCGCTGGAAGACTTTAAAGTCTCACATTCCTTTTTTGGATGACATTAGCATCTCATTACAGCCTGTATGATTTTATTAAAGGCATTAGCTCAGCAAGAACCTGCTAGTCTTCACTGTTCAATTAAAAAGCAGTTAATTTAAGCAGTTAATAGTTTAACCTGTTAATTTGTTATATATTAAAGACTTGTGTAGGTGTTTTTGTTTAATTGCTTATTTCTCTTCATAAGGGGGGGGCAATATACCAACTTGACTGAGTATTCATTACTTGTACAAATGATTTCTTGTTTTCTTTTTGGCAGTTGGAGATGGAGGACGAGGACACTATCGATGTATTTCAACAACAGACAGGCGGCTCTCGCTAAACCTCTCCATGCAGCGAGCTCCCACTCAGCTGTTTTATTTGACTCGTTTTCCTCTAAATGCTCTCTTTAACTGTACTGTTCATTTTCCCCTTTTGCCAGTTTTCTTTGAATGTCCTCCCCTAGTTTTCATAGGGTGGGACCAGGTTTTTTTTTCCCCCTCCCCTCCAATATATAACTATCTGTGAGATGGCAAATGTGGTCCACAGGCAAGACTAAGATGGCTGCCCTGAGGTGTATAGTTCAAAATGGCCATCTGAACTGTGTTGCGTGTCTTGGTGTAATAATGGCCTGAAAGTCGGGTCACAGTTGCCAGTCCAGCCATGCTTCCCAGATCGAAACAGAAATGGTCCATTCCCATATTGTCGATATATTCTGCAGAGTGAGGAGACCTGTTCTTTTTTTGATTTTGTTTTTCCCCTGTATGCCTGTCTCATGCAGCTTTAAGTATCTTTTAAGCCGGAATCTGTTTTATGTCTGTTAGCTGAAGAGATGCCCACCCTGCGTTCTATTCTTTTGCCACCCCCCCACCTCCAGTTTTTAATTTGAGCTGCCTCACTCATGAAGTATCAAAGGGGGATGGGATTGTGGGGAACTTTCAGCCTTTTCTGACTGACCACCGAAGGGGAAACCTGGTCAGATCGTTCTGTTAATGGTGAGGATCAGGTACTGGACCAAACCCTGAAGAAAACTTAATCCAGGTTTTTATTATAAATGTCTGTAGTTTCCCATATAATCAATTTTCAGAAGAAGGCAGAAATTGTTTTTTAAATCCCAAAGTTTACTGCCTTTTCCAAGCAAAAGGGAATTGTTACTGTCCCTCCATGGAAGTGTCGGTCTAACCAGAGAGGAAAGGTCTAATTTACCCTCCCCTCCCCCTAAACTAGGTTCTCGCCTTCTGCTGTATGGTCCAGCAGACTGGTATCCGTAAGGGTCGGGCTGAATCAGCATCCATGTGGTCTCATCTTTCTGTACTGATTTGTACATTATTTGTTGTCCTTTACTACTGTATACAATAAATATAGTTTGGTACTCAGATATCTTGCCCTGGTTTTTGCTCGTTGGGTGTTTATTACTTTGGTGGTGGATGACTGGATCTGACGGTGTTGTGTTGTAGTGTAGTGCACCTGTCTGGTATGAGGAAATGGGTACTACACAACAGATTTTCAAAAAGTTTTTAATATTTTACATAGTTGATATATGAAAAACCTTGAATGGTTTATTTTTCAATACAAAAGCAATATAAAATAGCAAATGTATAAATAAAATGCAGAAGTATTTGGATTTACTTGCAGCTTTTTTGCATAGTGCTTTAAGGCTTTTAAAACAAGAGGAATAGCTTCTGTACTGAGCTCCATTCTGAATGGATTGGATAAAGTACAAGAGCATACATGCTCTACAGTAACATTTATAGAGAACTAAATATTCCAGAACAGTTTTACTTCAAGTTCAATATCAAAGGGAAATCCCTGTTGCCTTGGTGATAAAGTGAAATTTACTGTGTTTTCAGTGTATCAACAGTTACTGTGTCTTATTTCTACAAGGTCTAGATTTGTGATCTAGCTTGTGTTGGCACTCCACAGGACCTTTCATCATGTCGTCATTGACCATTTTATGTGTTTGCTTTGCTAGAAATAAACAAACTCCACAATGTAGTTGGACTGCTCCACTGTTTTCCTCTTAGACTCCCTCATAAACAAAGTGCCTGAGAGGGTGACTTTCAACAGAGCTGCTTCTGAGGGCATTTTGAGTTACACTGTCAGTAAATATGGCATTTGTACTGTTTCTCTAACACCTTAATGTATCTTACCTTTATCTCCTGACCTAACAGTTTGAGTTACATTTATATTCTAGGGTTTGCATGTCAAAAATAGTCCTCTTTTAAAATGTTGCCCACAAATAGCATCAAACTCACTGTAGTGCTGTGTTCTTCACATTCTATAAGAATTCTTTAGGTGAAGGTAAAAGAGGACACAGTGGTGTCATCATCTCTCTTTTATATACAATTATTTACACATTTCCACCAGATGCTTTCCTATCAACTCAAGTGAAATCCAACATAGAAACTTGCCAGTGGCACAGTCTTCAGCTCAACTTGTTCTGTCTCTCAGCAACAGCTACGTTATAATGCATAACTGAAAGGCCTTCACCTTCCAGTTCCAAAGGGATGTGTATAGTTGTGGTGCCCTTGAAAAAGGCGGTCAACCTGAGTAAATAAGGTTTCAATTGAGCTTGTATACATCTCTACACCTGTGAAACATGCTTGGAATATAACTCTGGGAATTATTAGGAATGAGAATTCAAGCACCCATCTTCTCCATAGAAGCACCATGGGAGTGGTTTTTTTTTTGGTTTTTCTCTCTGTATATTAATTACACTGGCCAACAAAACTGATTATTGGAGTCCACCACAAGGGGGCGCCAGCAGACTGATGTTGATGATGGCAGCTTGAGAAGGGAGGTTTACACTAACCCAGCCTCTCTGCACATGCGGTAAAACTGGCCTCTTTGTGCAATAAGGTTAACAGGGGAGTCCATCTCCACTATGTGTCCTTTGTCCATCACAATAACTCTGCAAAAGAGCAGAGGAACACAGTGATTAACATCAGCATGTTAAACAGCCCTCTCATTCACATCTTTATCCAGGGACACAATCTAAGAGGGTCCCCAGAATTTAACAGTAGTAAACAACTGAATTTTGCATAATTCAGTTAATTATAATTTGCAAATGTTCTGCATAATTTAACTGTGGAAACCAAGTCATTCACAGTGGTTCAAGAGAAACACGAGCCAGAACTGCTTACAGTGGTGGTGATAGGAAGCAGAAAGTTATTGCACAAAATGCTTAGGAATATACTGCCTGAAACTTGAGACATTGTTTTCCTAAAGATTGAGATAAAAAAAGGATTAATGGTGGAGAGCAAGCAGAGTATTTTAAGATTATAAGGCAAAAAAATGCCTAAAGAAAATTTATTTGCTTAGATTTTCCACCATTTTTCTACAGGGAGATTCACTCGAAAGAGGCCCCGAATATTCTGTAATAACTCTGTCTAGGACGAAGAAATCTGAACGAAACAACGTCCAATGTCCCCCTCTGTATATGGAGCTTCGAACAAGCCGGGATGCCCCTGTGTCGGAGGGATGAGGTAGGCGCCAACATCAGCATTAAATGTCATCAACATTTAAACTCAGTTTGCAACTTCACGGTGTATACCCCGTAACCCTTCATGTGTCTGGCAGAAAACTGAGATCACTTCCAGCATCGCATGTAATGCAATCGATTACACATACGTCAGGGTATGTAGGGTATTTTTTTGGTTAAGATTGCTTCATCCTAACGGGAGTTACAACAGAATATTTGGGGCCTCTTTCGAGTAAATCTCCCTGTATTATCAACGTTACATATACACGCATACACATAACATAGATGTGTGTAGGTTCACTGATTATTTGGGATAGCAAATAAAATGGCCATGTTTGCTCTCCTAGTTCCTGTGACCACCACTGTGAAGAAGAGTTGCTAAGTTCCTCTACAGAGCACCATTTCATATGAAACCACTCTGAATGACAGTGAAATATTTTGAAAAATCCCCTGTAATGTAATGAAATGGATCTCAATAACACCTTCAGAGAGCAGTGCAGAGAAACAGAAATGTTTGTTTACTGAAGCTTGACTTGTGTCTCTTCAGTTAATATTCGGGTAACACTTTAAAGTAATGCAGCGTTCACAAGACTACTTGACATCTACAAGCTCATTATGACTAAAACCTACATAAACATTAACAAAGAATCAGTGTTGTCTGTTATAAAGGCTGCATTTGCCAACTTTAATATCACCTGATCAGTGACACTGATACTGATATTTTCTCACGTAAACCTTTATTTGGGTTGTCATGACACTTTCTTGGGTGAAATGACAGCACATTAACTTTGTAGCTTAGTGTATATCACAGTGACATAATACTGATGATGTGACACATTGGGCTGGTTGAACAAAAGTGAGTTTAATTCAGCTTAACATGGTTGTATATCAACATGCATTGAGCCACAAAGTCTGTCATTTCTCCCAGAAATATCCTAACACCAACTAATTTTGGAAAAAAAGCTGATTTAAGTTAGATGTTGGCAAATTTTAGCTAATTGTTTACTAATTCTTTATTCTGTTAGGTGAGCATAAAGCCACCGAGCACTGCTATTCCATGACCACTGAGTGCACCAGAATGTAAAATAGACTGGTATGTTAATAGGTCTATTTTTAGAACCATATCTTTCTGAAGGGTTTGCTAAGGCTAATGTTAGCTGGCTACATAGCTAACAATATTAGTGTGTAAGCTAGCACTGTCTCATTTTTGTTCACCGTGCTGTAATATATGAGTTGTGCTTATCCCTATTCATTCATAAACAACATTTTGTTGTACATTTAACATTGTTTCTGAAATCCTTTTTTCTTGTTTTAGCATCTTACTTTCTTTCACATGTTTATAGACTGTATATACAGCCTACATGCAGTGTTGGCCATATATCGTATGACTGTTAGTGTAGGCTTACTTTGTGTAGTCCATGATGGTGTTGAGCCGGTGGGCGATGGTGAGAACTGTGCAGTCCTCAAATTGGCTGCGGATGGTGGACTGAATCAGCGTGTCTGTCTCCAGATCCACTGCTGCTGTCGCTTCATCCAGAACCAAGATCTTTGTCTTACGAAGGAGGGCCCTTGCCAAACATACCAACTGCCTCTGCCCAAGACTGCAGAATGAAACAGAGAGGTGAGTGACCAGTCACAGATGTAAAAACCTTTGCTGATGAAGCTAGTGAATATGGACACATAGATGGTAAACAGACACAGCAGCAGTATTATTCTGACAGTGATAAATAATCATTAATACAGCTGCTCCACATAGCAGTGAACAAAACTGTGGTGATCACACATACAGAACAATCTAGACATTCATACCTGAGATTTTCCCCTCCTTCTGAGCACTCATAATTGAGTTTGTCTGGCAGTCCAGAAACAAAGTTCTTGAGATGAGCTAGTTCTAATGCATTCCACACTTCTTCTTCGGAGTATGTGTCAAAAGGGTCCAGATTTATACGCAAGGAGCCGGAGAACAGCACTGGATCCTGCGGGAAGATGTGTGAGTCAACCAAAAGAGCATTTCAGATAGAAGTCAATGTTATAGACATATCAAAAAACTGTACAAAGTGTAAATTAAAGTACAGTTTTTTAAAGGGTTTGAAATTGAGGAATCATAATGTGCAGGAGATTTCCAGCATGTTGGCGTTCTTACCTGTGGAATTATAGTGATGCGAGACCTGAGATCATGGAGACCGAGCTCTGCGATGTTGATCCCATCGATGTAAATCTTTCCTTTTGCCGCCTCCAAGATCCGGAAGATTCCGAGGGCCAGAGACGACTTCCCCGCACCTGTCCTTCCCACAATGCCGATCTGAAAGCAGAAAAGTGCTCAGTCTTGTGCATCACACATAGCTCTAGATTTCCCTTCAGTCAAATCATGGCCTAAAATTGCCAAGTATCACACTTTATTCAAGATATGCATAGAGAATATTGATTTGGTAAGCAAACTGGCCCATATTTGTCATAGTTATAAGGAATATACATCCATCCTTCACCTTTTCTCTTTGCTGGATATGTAGGGAGATGCCTTTCAGAGCAAACTCTAGACCTTTTCGGTACTGTAAGCTATAGTCCTGGAACTCTATGGTGCCTGTTTGAGGCCAAGCAGATGGTAGAGAGTTGCACTCAGAGGTCCATGCAGCCTGCAAACAGGAAAAAAACAAAAAGGTTTCCAGGGATGCACAAACGGAATCGGAAAAATTGACAGATTTTTGCTCCAAACACAAGCTTAGCAATCAGCAGGTGAATTAATTTTATTTTAGTGTTGTTATTTTATGATGTTAATAATGGCAGGTAAATGCACTCGAGCTGTATTTGAATGCTGCTGAACCACATCTGAACCAAAATGTCGTGGCATAACTACATTGCCTCATTGTGCTAAACAGGCAAATACATCTTATATTCTGTGTACCGCTTCATCAAATTGATTCATGTCATTTACTAGGCAACTGAGTTTTCATATACAAATTCAAAATGCCAGTTGGCAAATAATTTTACATGTTAAATGTTAACAATGCCCTGATGTGCAGTCTCTTCTCACCTCTTTGGGTGTCTCTGCATACTCCTTCACCCTTTCCACCGACACTATGTTGTTCTCCACATCTGTCCACGACCTCACAATCCAACTCAGGATGCCTGTCACCTGAAACCAAAAAATCAGCAGTTTAAATCCACACTTGAAGTTTATGATTCTGGATAAACCTGGGTTAATGCAAGTCTGCTAAGCAGCTTAAAGCTCTATCGTCCTCCCCATCAGCTGAATTTCACAATTTCACATCACCTCAATAACCACAAATGAAGACATGTCCAATAATGTGGTTCTTATGCAAGACAAGAGGGTTGCATGTTAGAGTTAGACAGAATGTTGAAAAAGAGGAAAACGGAAACAGTAACAACTACAGTAGATTATGCAATGTTTGCAGGGAGGATTCTGTGGGCAGTCGTAATAACTCTCACCTGGAGGGAGTGGGATACAGCTAAGCCCACGATTCCAGGGCTTAGAGTGTCTTTTCCCATCACAGAGAGAATGGCAGCAGCGAGAACTACACCATTACCCAGGAACTCCAAATTCACCGCTAGCCACCTGCACAGGAGGAGATGCACCAAGTTAGCACTCTTTGCCTCTCCAAATCGTACAGGGCTTTCACGCAAGAAAGGCTTTGAATGTCACTGCAAAACTGTGACAGTTGCAAAGAAAGGTTGTGAAGAATGGCACTCTGTGATTTGGAATGCTGCTTAGTTATTTCATAATGCCCCTGTACTCTTAGTATTTTCAGACTGCTGCTTGATGAATGTGACAGTAGAATTTAGCCAGACTGAGGATTAAATGTGTTTAGTGTGCAGAAAAGGTGAGTTTACACAATTGGATTTTGAGTTCCTTTGGAACTTTGGAGAGTTGCTGATTCCTATATATTGCATTCATCACAAGAGCACATGCAACTAACTCAAGCAAGGACAACTCAAATGAGCCAAATCAACTGTTTTCTATAAACCTTTGGATTGAATTCAATGGTTGATCCTGGATTTTCATGCTAAAATGTCTGTATTTTATTAATTTTATTACATTTGTAACCTTTTAGAAAAAATGTTATATTTCCCTTTAACACTAATCCAGGTAGACATAATCTCAGTTTCTACATCGCATTAATGTTTGTGTATCAGTATTAGCAGATATGTACATGAAAATTAGCCCTGATTCTAATATCTTTGCATCTTTAAATTTAGGCCTGATGATGTCAGAAACCACCTTCACCTGGCATCACAGCTCACCTGGTTGCCACAAAGCGGGGGAAATAAGCGGTCTGGTTGTGATCAACCCTCTGATTGGCCTGCAAGATGAAGCGCGACTGCTCGCCGAAGGCCCGGATAACACTGGCGCCCTGCACCGTCTCGTTAAAGTGGGTGTAGATGGGTGAGCGACTCACTGACTCCAAACGTCGCAGCTGGCAGGATGTGGCCACATAGAAGCTCTTCAGGAGAAATGAAAGAAAAAGAGAGAGAGAAAGAGAGAGAGAGAGACAGAAACAGTCAAAACCCACATGACACGTAAGAGGATTTCCAATATTCCCAGTGGACTCAGGTAGCAACTGCGTCAGCAGACCGGTGAAAAAGCCCATTAACTTTGGTGCTAACATCAGCACATGTGGTTTGTGATCTAGCCCAGTTTCTCTCCCCTCCCCGGAAAGCGCTGCCTCAGCCATACCTGCACAAAAGCATAGAGCAGAGCAAGGGGGAGGATGATGATGGCAGCGAAGGGCGTGGCCAGAAGCACTATGATGCACACTTCCATTAGCTTAAAGAAGTAGCTCAGCATCATCTTTAGGCCATCTGGAATCATGCAGTCGATAGCGTCAATCTCCTTGGCGAATCGGTTCAGGAGGTTGCCGCTGGGGGTGGACTCGAAAAAGGACATGGGGGAGTGGAGGACATTTTTTAGGAGGTCCAGGTGCAACTGGCGAGAAGCAATGATGCCTCCAATAGAGATGGCCACTGTGGTGCCAAAAATGGCTATGCCTGAAATTCAGTAAAGCAACAGAGGCATTAGGTTTCGAATTGTTCTTTTTCTTTAGATGTGTAAGTGGCAAATATATATATACATACACCCTACACACAATCCTAGTTTAAGTAGCTAAGAATAAATCAACACTACAAATGTCTGCATTTGCATGTTTGTATGGACTGATATCTCTACCTCTCACTGACCTTGTGCAAATCCAAGAGCTCCATAAACTCCTAACTTCATGTCAGTGTTGAGCTGGGTACCGTTGATGATCGGCTCGTCGGCCCACATGCTGAGCCAGTAGTTGTATGCCAGAGAAGCAGCCTGTTGGAAGGCGTACAGGAAGAGAATGGGTACAATCAGAGCCAAGCCGATGGTGCGGAAGTACTCGATGTACAGCTCCAGTTTCACCTAGAAGGGCAGACAAACAAGAAGAAATGAGGGAAAAACAATGACAGGATGTACTAAATAGCTATGACTTACATGGGAGAACATTAAACAAAAATGACATTTTTAGATGCTGCCAAACTCACTCTGCCTATCCGAGCTTTGTCCACCACTGTCAGTTTTCCCAGCTCCTCAGGGATCTGTTCCTGCTCGATATCTGGCTCTACGCTCTGCATAGTGACATTGTTGGTGTCGCCACTGAGACAGAGAAAGAGAATAATAAGAGAAGTCCTTTGAAGGAATGTTTTGGCAGAAAATATAACCAATTGTCCAGTTACCCCACATATAGCCAATCTGTTGAGGCATGATGGGTGTCCAAATTTTAGTTCTTTAACTGCAACAGTTACAAACGCTAGAACTGAAGTCATCCAAATAGCCCAAATCATTTTTGTAAAAATACATCACCAAAACCTCATTCTACCACATCCAGGTCTTGATTGAGGTTGTGCAAACTATATTGTAGCTATACTATAGCTATACCATAAAAACAAACAAGATTGCACTCAGTTCCAGTTACCAGTTCAGACAATAGTGTCTGTAGTCACAAACCACCTAGAAGCAGGAGTGCAAGAATCAATATTTGTGACAATGACCATCATAAATATGGAGCAATCTGATCCAAAGTCACTCCTGTTTGTGAAAACCAGCTCTGGTCTGAAATGACTGCCAATAGTGGATGAAGTTTTGTTTTTTATAGCTCACATTAAGTCATAATGTGCTATACACTATACAAGTCTGCACAACCTAAATGAAGACCTGGATGCAGTTTGAGCGGATCGAGAAAGTTTTGGGGTGTATTTCTATAGAAACAATTTGAGGTATTTGGGTGACTATTGAGTTCTAAACTAATAAAGCAAAAATTGGACGTCTTGGTTGATCAACTACATTTAGGCTAAGTGGAAAATTGGGTAAATTTGCTTTTTTGCAGAAAACTTAAAGATTTGAATGTGCTCCTGTGACGTTTACCCACCACCTTTATGTTCACCCCGTTATTGCTTATTGGATCTTTACCCCTTAAAAGGCAGAGACCTGCTGGTGGGCCCAAGGATTTATTACACACTTCTATAACCTAAGAAAAACTCAACCAGTTTGCCTTGAAGTCCCTGTAGTTACTGAATAATAAGCCTTAGTATGTAAACATCTTGGCATTTTAAGAGGTTAACATCACTACCTTGCTCAGATGCTAACACATCACTCACCCAATCAGCTGCTCCTGAGAGAGGTCCCTGGAGAACGGCATAAAATCTGTTACACTGAGTCTTGCACAGGACCTTCTGGAGCCTGCAACAACAACACACGTTCGTATTCTTCAAGGAACCGTTGGTGGAAAAGAATAACACAATATCAGCCCAATTCTGTATAGCGCATGTTCTTGGCTGATTAGGGATAAACGAAAGTGACTATTGTGGAGTGCTGTTTTGAGTTAAACTTTGACTTTTAATCACAGCTGTAAAGAAAAAGGTGTTAAACTGACCTCTTTGCACTGAGCTTTCCTTCCTCTCTGAGCCGGCAAAGGTGCGAATGAAGTCAGCGAAGGCCCCATTGCGGTTCAATAGCTCCTGGTAGGAGCCGCTCTCAGTGATCTCGCCATCCACCAGCACAAGGATCAGATCAGCCTGGGGCAGGAAGCTCATCCCATGGGTCACCAGGACTCGAGTCTGTCAAAGACACAATACGCTTTCTTTCACATAACCTGCACAGCCAGCCAAGTGAAAGCGTCTGCTTGGGGCACATTATTTAAAGAAAGCTTCAGCTCTTGATCACCTGTGGTTTCTTATCCTTTACATCATGTCATAGAAATTATTATTTATTTAATCTAATATTAATGAGATTCACTTTTACTAAAATAATGTTGATGCTGAAAATAGTGGAATAATATTAATAATAATAATAGACACCAAATCACCTTGTCTCTGAGCACACCCTTGGGCCCAATGACCTTATCAAAGATGTGCTGACCCACATGGGCATCCACAGCAGACAGAGGATCATCCAGCAGATAGACATCAGCCTTCCTGTACACCGCACGAGCCAGGCTCACCCTCTGCTTCTGGCCTCCAGACAGGTTTAAACCCTGGGAAAGATTTCCGCATAACTAAAGCATGCCTACAAACATGACTGTTTTGCTGATAAGCTACATTTCTCTATTATCTTGTGATACTGTAGAAGTCATCTCTTTATAATATGAACAATAGTGGGGTAAAACAGACCTAAAAACCTGCAAAATGATGACTTCATTTAGAGGTTTTAAAGTAAAAGCAGCACATAAGAGCACCTTCTCGCCGATCTCAGTGGCGTCCCCTGCTGGCAGGATCTCTAGATCAGGCAGAAGGGCGCAGGCCTCCAGCACACGCTGGTACCAGCTCTTCCTCTTCTCTCGTCCAAACAAGATGTTGTCCTGCAGTGTGGCATTCTGGATCCAGGCCTGCTGGGGGACGTAGGCCACTGAACCCTACGAGAACAGATGCACACAGTGTAACAACAAATACTGTTAGGAGATCAAACCACCTTTTAATTTCCAGTAAAAGTACAACTTATTTAGAAAAAAAAAACAACAGAAAACTAAACAACAGACACAGAAAATTAAACAACAGCTAAATATATAATTTTTTTGCCATATTTAGTGTGTCCACTTTAATACAGCTTCTTTTCAGGAGAGTTGCTTTCAGTTTTTTAAAGAAAGCTGCAGGGATATTTTTCCACACCTCCAAAGTTCAGTCTTAGAAGTTGGATGCATTTGCTGCTTCTCACAATCCAAGTAATCGCAAACACATTCAGTGATACTGCAGTCTGGGGTGGCAAATTTTACAATTTTTTTTTTGCAGTAACTGCTGTTAGGAGTCTCATTTTCTCTTTATCTTGTCACTTTCTTGAATTCTAAAATTACAGTTTTATATGTATATACATATATAGGGATTGTTGTATATTATTATTATATATATATATATATATATATATATTCTTACCTTGATAGAGACACTTCCACTTCTCCTCTCTGTCTCTCCAAGCATTGCAGAAAGTAATGACGATTTTCCACTGCCAACGTGGCCGACAACAGCAACCAGTGCGCCACGAGGAACTCTGACATTGATCCTACAAATACAAGTTATTTTTTGACACACTGTTCCTAATTATACTATTGTATAATCTATTAAGTGATTATCCGACTTCTCACAGAAGCACAATCGTGATTATACTACTATTATACCTTTTTAGACACGGAGCACCATCTTTAGACCAACTGAATGTCCCATTCTCAACCCCCACACCATCATCATCTGAGTGAGAAACAGAGAACGAAAGACATAGGAAGAGAGAAATGAATGGTAAGTCTTCTATACTATGTCGTGGATACTATCGTGTTGTTTAAATACTAGCTGTTCCAAACACCTGTGTAAAAACGAACATACTGTTCTGCCGTATGGGAGCCTTTTAGGTGAGAGCCGAGGAGGGGCCGTCTGTGAAAGTAAACTTCCTCTCCTGCAGCTTGTGAAATAGACTCCCCTTAATTATGCATGGTCTAATTAGCTTCATCTTCAAAATAGCTGTTTTCACAAGCTGTCTGCAATGCTGCTGACAGATGCCAGGCAAAAATGTGTTTGCGTTTCACGAAAATAGAAGACTACGTTGAGACTACAGTCTACCGTGGGCTGCTGCATTGGGTCTCTAATTGCTCTCCCTCTCTCTCTCTCTCTCTCTCTCTTTCTACCTCTACAGAGAAGAACAGGAAGTGAAGCAATGCTGCCACGTGTCTGTGGAATTCAGCAGCTGTTAACAAATTGCCATCAATCTGTGGCACTTCCATTCAAAATATATGACAGAGCTACAGAGGAAGTCATCTTTTAGCACCTGTTAGTATGAACTTGTTAGTATGTTAACTCACCCAATTTATAAGGCTCTCTGGACACGTTGTCTGGTTTTAGCTCTTCTTGACACAAAAACTTTCCCAAGCGCTTTAGGGAGACAACAGCCTGCAACATAAGAGCTGCTTCAGAACATACTCCTCTTTTGCGTTGAACAGCAGCTAAAATTAGGGAATAACTAAACAAAGAAAGAAGCATGATTGGAATGGAATTTCCAGGCACTTTTACAGCTCTAGACATCTACCTGCATGGTGGTGCTCATTGCAAATGGAAGCTGGCTAAGAGGGGTCTTCAGGATGTTGATGAGCGCCATGGACACAAAGACCTTCTGAGCGTCCAACACGTTTTTTTCATCAATGAGAACGTACACTCCAAACATGGCAAAAGCAATCTTGGGGGCAAGAAAGACAATCACAGACAAAATCTTTGTGAGAAGCACTAATTAAGCTAACCCAAGCAGAATGTCAAACATATGGTGTGGCATGCAATAAACATAAAACTGCAATAAACATATAAAACTGCAGTAGACTTTACACACCAGGAAAGACGAGGAGTTGAAGGAAGCAATGGAGATGGAGTAGAGGATCTGGGATTTCCTCAGGGCCCCAAGCTCTTTCTCTCTGTAGCCTAGAACCTGCTCGAGATAAGCCTTTTCCCAGGCGTAGAACTTCAGGATCTTTATGCCATTCAGGATCTCATTCATCAGCTTGATTCGTCCATCCATGAACTTCATCTGAATCTCCTGCATCATTCAAAAATACGGGGACTTAATATAGATGGAAGCCTGTGCATTATGTAGCTAACCTAACTTTGAGGTTGACTGATTTATGAAGTAGGTTAGCACATGTGTGGTTTCATAGGTCAGTGGGCATAATGGAATGTGGCAAATGTGAAAATCTATGGTCTGTTTGTCCACAGCTTTATCACACAAAGAGCTGGGTTAGGTTTGCCTGCATTCCTCATTCTTTATATATGTCAAATTTTCACATTGGTAACGGCCAAGTAGGTCAGCAGTAGGCAGTTAGAGGACTAGGTCAGCCAGTTTCTCCCAAACCAGGAGACAGAGACACAGGCCAGGGTTACAACCAAGGTCCTTGCACATTGTGAAGTCACTTCAAGCAGCCCGAGTGCCAAGCATCTGTTGTTTTCCAAAAAGAAATGAAAGAAATATAGCTTTTATTGCCATTTGTTTCAGTGTGGTTGTTTTCCGTCTAAAGAGACGCAGAGACATCAAAGGAATGAGAGACGCTCGAATCCAACCCACACACCCACACTGTGCTTGCTGCGCTATCTAAACCAGCTGTGGAGGTTAAGCACTGACCCACAGCCTGTGAGGACACTCGGGCTTCCAGCAAAACCTGTATACACAAAGAACCTGAGTCTGATCCAGGATCAGGGCTGTTACTGTTTTGAGACCACTGTATCTATTGGTACCACCCCCCAAAAATAGTTTAACAAGTGACTGGTTCAGGAACTTGGCCCTGTTGTTTTGCAGACACTGCAGTCGCATATGCAAACAATTTTAACTATTTGAAATTATCTGATTTATCTGGGCTCTTTCGCTGTAATATTTTACCTCAGCCAAAAACATAGTTAAAATTGAATGAAAGCCAGTAGGATCAAGTCACATAATTTTAACTAGGCCCTACTATCTGACATTCATTGTTAGATATCCTGTAATTTACAACACCTGTAATTTACTCCTCTTCTTGGCAATGAATCCATTTAAAGGGAAGATGAGAATCACTGTGGCGATGCCAGCCAGAGCAGATGGGCCTAGATGCTGAAACAGGAAGAGTGGAAGAATGTCAATATCACAGTTAACAAGGACACACAGTGTCACTCGTGCAAAGTTCTGCCCTTATGGATCATCAAAAGTTATTTGACTGCCCCTGTGAAGAGAATTTTTGGCCTGTAAAATGTGAATGAGGCGCTTCACATCTAAAATCAGAGGCTAAAAGTCATAACGCCTTTGTCCCCAAAACTACTAAGGTAATGGCAAACCTTACCTGCCACAGAAAGAAGAGACAAAGAGCAATCTCGATGGGGGCAAGCCATACGGCGTTGAAGTACACCACAAAATCCATAAGCTTCTGAGTGTCAGCCGAAACCAGATTCACAATCTCTCCCACGGTACACGTTCTGCGTGCTGCACTGCTTATTACCAGAGACTATAAAGTAAGGCAAAAATTGGGGAACAGTCAACAATTATGAAAGGAGCTCAGGGAGTTGCCGCTGTTTTAAAAGTTTTAAAATATACAATTTGCAACTAATCCGATATCTGGCTCCTATATTTACTATAGGTATTATAGCAGGTAGGTATAATTCAACTAAAAAAGGAAATGCTCTACATATTCCAGTTTTTTTGCGATATATATATCTCTAGAATTAGAGCAGACCTTTCTATAGACGAGTCCCATGACAGCAGTCTTGACCCTCATGCCCACAGTAAAGCAGGTGTACATATACTGGTGGTTAAAGAGAGACAGCAGACACGAAAGGAGGAACATGAGCGAAGCATAGAAATATCCTTTCCACAGTGGAGCATCCTCCTCCCTCATGAAGCCTAAGAGAAGACTAAGAGGAGAAAGAGAAGATGAGAGATGAAGACATATACAACATACAATACAAAAAATACAAAATTAAATTACAAGCTGGCCAGCTGGTTGTGGTTCTGCAAAAAATAATTTGAACAATAACAACAAATATAAACGCCTGCCGTGCTTTCTGCCAGCAAACCCAGAGGGCGTGCTGAGGGCACTATGCTGCAGCTCCAGCCTGAGGCTTTGCAGAGAATTATAGTATTATGACTTTCAAAATAATTCAGCTCTGTGGTTTGGTAATGGAGCATTTAGCTATGACCCTTGCTTGAGAGAACAGCACACTGGAGCACACGTCCAGCAGGAGCAGTAGCGCATGGCTGCCGTATGTGGTACCAGCTTTCCTTCTGCACGTATCTTGAAAATGAAGAACAGTAGAATGATTGTTGAACCCTTAGGAAAAAAAAAATACTTGGCAAATCTAATGTTTGGCAAACCCAACAGAATGTAGAGTCGGGCAAAAATGCCAGGATTCTATATCAGTTACCTTTGGGGCGAAAACAGCTTTGCTCATTTATACTATTCCCACCAAAACCTACCCTGTGTTGACACTTGACACCACCAACCAGTACAGTAGGTCAATGGGATTAAACTCAGCTGGCCACACACAAAAAGTCAGCTTTTCCTTGCCACTGGGTTGTGGATAGAATTTGATGCTGCTGATCCAGAGTCAGCTTGCTCTACCTAAATTCCAAACACAATCGTTTTAGGGTACAAACTGCAAGGCTGGTCCCAAGGCAGTCTAAGGCAGTTCGCTGGTGGCTGTCTCAACCTTGTACTTGGCAGGCCACTCTCTTACAGTGGTCGCTTCTCAACCACAACCTCAGAGGTTCTGCTTCCGGCTGCCTCGGGGCTGACGCGTCTGCACCGGGCACGGCGCTATGGTCAAATGTCCCTCAGACTCTAAGCCATAATTGCCCCACTGCGGGCATAAACAACGCGATCTCTGTCTGGCTCGGGTGACGTTGCACCTGCTGCTAACTGCGTCTTCCTGTTTTGCAGAGATATCGTGAACCGTACAATGTGCCCTGAAAAAACATTTGGAAAGCCTTTGTGGGGTGTCTTTGAAGCTGTGGGAGGTGGTTTATTTTAGAGTCTGTGTTTATTTGATGAGTGGACTTCTAGGACACTGGTCTCTCTCACTCTCACCAGGGATACATATGAAGTGACTAAAGCTTATGAACTTGGAACAACCGTATGGACAATATTTTATGCACAACCTCAACAGGCACGTCTTTTTTTGGAGGGTGAAGAGTTTTTAATCATTAAGCGATGTTGTGTTTAACAGCCTTGAATCTGTCAAAACATTTAAAATGTTTGTAGTATTTGATAGGCATTATTTGTCAGGCATTTTCAGATATAACTGTTGAACACAGCATTTTGATGACGCTACATTGGTAATATTTATAAGCCTACATTATTGAGAATTTTTGTCTAATACTGAGAAAAAAATGATGGTGTAAAATTGAACTCCATTCTGGATGCTTTAATGGTATTACTTTTACTGAGAACTATTGGTTAAGGCTGTAACTATCTAGGCTAACTTAGTGATGTATCTAAGCCTTATGCAGAGAGATGTAGGTAACACTTTATGTGAACTCTGCTACATAAGATTAACAAAATCATGCCATTGAAATGTCAGGGCAGATATCATATGCTGTCATCTCATATCATATGCAGTAACTGATTTTGTTCAGTAACGAAAATGTCATGTTGCCATTATCAGTTATTATTATGACAGATGCCATAATGTTTGATGTCATAACAGCTTATGCCACATGCATAAGCATAAGTGTGCTCTAGTTAGCGATCATGACATCAAACATTATTACATATGTCATGGCAAGTAAAGCTAACGGTAACATTACACCATTATATTACTGAACATAACTAGTCATGACAACATTTATGACAGTATCCGCCATGATACGTTTATGACATGGTGATGTCAATGTTATGTAGCAGGATTCAAGTAAAGTGTTACCTTGTGTTACCTTGTCAAAGCAAATCCAATACATTTTGAGCTCCATAATTTGTTTTTGTTTTAAAGTAACAGCATATGTTGTGGTCACTGTGGCATGTACCATTGACTCAGAGGAAGCAACAGCACAAGCAGAACTTGTGTTATTGTTTGCTGTGCATGCTAGCTCACCAACTTACCTGAGGACTTGTGGGATGGCAAACATGAAGGCATCGTGGACTATGAGGCACAGCGTCCCAGAAAGGAAGTAGGGCCCGAAGTTGCGCGCCAGCGTCCGTAAAAGGCAGAAGCCTGAGCTTTGCTCCTTCTGCAGCTTTCTCAGGAGCTGAGCCTGATCCGGCAAGCGGGACCCCAACGCCACACCACTGCTCAAGTAGTTCTCCTGTCTAATGATGGGACCAAAAAAATGGCCATTAATGTTACCCCAAGAAGTCACAGTTTTCACCCATGAAAAAGCTTTTGTGATTTTCTATTAATTATTTCTCACTTGTGGCTGCCAATGAAAGTGCGGATTCTAAGCTTTCAAAAAATACCACATCAGTGTGTATAAAAGAGGTAATATTTTATTAAGATTTGAATTTGATGAAAAGTTAAACTGTATGTTTTAGGTTTTTTTTTAAAAACGTAAAGCGTTTTTCCCATGTTCGTGTCATTGTTCGACAAATTGCCAGCCTATAAGCACATCACTGTGTCTTTCAAGTCGCTAATTAAATGCAGAGCTATATAAAAAGATGCTACACCGCAATGTGTGAAAAGTTTCCACAAATCATAAAAAGATGTGACCTCTCACACGTGAGGGCTTAGCAGTGGATCCAGGGGACTTAACAAGACTTTGTATCCTCAAAGTTGAAACGTGTTAACAAGCCAGCTAAGTGACACAAGCCTTGACTGTCTCGACAGTGACAATGTGGGCTCTCTGTCTGACGAATTTAAGGCCGAAGTCCTTGTTGTGGGCATCGCTCAGACTGAGATTTGATTGTTTTGATTATCCAAGTCAAAGCAGCAAAAGTAACCATAAAAACATGAACGCTGAGCTTTAAATGTGTCTACATGTCACACTAAAACTTGTTGTCTGGTGGCTATAACACATCCCAATATATCACTGATGAAAGCCAGGAACCCTTAGAGATCATAGTTACCGCATTGGTGTTTATAAGTAGAAGAGGAAATATTTTATTATGATATGAATGAGTTGAAGAGCTACAGTTGTGCATTGACATTGTTACAAAACAAAATCTGAAGCACCAACTTGAGTCTTTTAATATGTAATGTAAGTGATGTGAATGTAATTCTGTAAATAACTATATAATTAATTATACAGTTGTGTAATTACATTTAAATAAATATGTATTGTCAAATGAATGCATAGCAAAATGATGATTAATAACTCTAGACTTCAGATCAGGTCAGGAAATCATACATGCAGTCAGTTTATGAATGGGCTGGACATTACATTCAGCAGAGTAAAGGTTTAATAAGATTGCATGCTGTGAGCTCTACTACAGTGTTGTGGAATTTCGTACTGTTGAAGTTTGGTTCGCTCTGTGGTCCATTCCTCCTCTAGATCTGAGACGATTTTGTCTGACGTGTCCTCCTGCCTCAGACTCCACAGATCTTCGGCCTGCAGAGGGTTGCGGTAGCCTTTAACCACCAACCTGCGAGAAATATGTACACAAACATATGCGTACATGTTTTTTTAAACTTGACTGCACATTTCATGTCTTTAACTCTTTAGACTGCAGGCTTATTATTTAGTTATTAATCCTTAAACAATACATCTTTCTGTAGTTGCTATGAACTTAATATGTAAAAGCTTAGGTAGTTAAGCGGATGAAGAATTGAAGTGAGGACCCACATACAGGCCCCTGCAGTTACAGTGCAGGATAATCATTCAGTAATTAATCTTAAATCGTATTACTCATTAAATACTGTAAAGTATTTGCTAACTACCATGAAATTATTATATTATTATATTTAAGTTATGTAGTTATGAGCAAAGAATAGCTATGTGGGCCCATAGACAGGCTTTTTGAGTTTAAGGGGTTAAGTCAATTTGAGATAAACAAATATGAAACAGTGTACATAAAAACTAGTAGAACTATTGGAAAACATGAAGTAATATATGGTCATCTTGTTTACCCTCTGAACCACCAGAAGAGGAATTTTGACAGAAATGATGCATCCTGAACGGGACATGCATTCTGAAATTAAAGAGAGAAATCAAAGAGAGAAGTTAGAAGCTGCTTGGCAAGCAAAATGCATTTCTGTTCATTTCACATTTACATGATTTATATCCGGTATTGTGTCAGAGACCACCTTTTATTTATTTAATTTCAAAATGGCCATTAGGTACAAGTTATTCATTTTTCAGTGCCAGAAAAAAAACTGAAATTATGTATTTAACAAAGAAATCCTTATCAACTAAATATAATCTTTGTCTTATTACAGCTCCCATTTTTTTCAGCAGACTTGCTTTCAGTTTTTCAAATCTGCAGGGATATGTTTCCATTTTTCAAATTCAGTCTTAGAACTTGGTTGTGTTTTGTCCTTCTCACAATCTAAAAAAAAAATTATTACAAATTTAGATTCATTGGTGCATAAAACCCATTGTGCAGTTTTGGTGTTCTGGTTCTACTTCATTTTCTCAGTAATGTCTTCTTGCCAACTACACATTCTTTAGACTCATAGCACTGAGTTGTCTTCTCATAGTGGAAGAACGGACAAAAACACCTGTGGATTTTTTCAGATCTGAAGTAAGAGTGGAGCTTGATCTTCTCCTCTCTCTCAAAGATGAAAGCACTCTTTATCTGTGACATATTTGTTATTTGGAGTTCCATTTTCCTTTTTTTAAACTCCAGTTTTTTGGTAAGTTGTGTCTTTTTATGTATTTTCCTCTGACCTTCCCCTTCCTTATGCAAATGGGTTATTTTATGTCTAATCTCTTCAGAAATATCTAGTGAACAAAACAAAATACTTGTACTTAATGACCATTTGAATTGGAAATGAAATAAATAGAGGGTGGTCTTTGATATTTGCACAATACTGCAAATTACAAAGAAGGCAGTTTATTTTTAAAGTGAAAGAGCATTGCTGTTTTGGATGGCAGGATTGGGTACGTAGAAAAAAGCATTTGGCCACACTGCACAGAGAGTAAACAGAAAATCAGTGAGAGTGTCTGTGTGAGTAAGTGAGAGCGCTGGTTTGTGTATGTGTGCCTAGCGTGGTTCAGTTACGACACATTTCCACCCACACCTGACCTCAGCTCTGCCCCCTTATCCATCCACCCAAACACAACCAAACACACACACACACACTCCCGCCTCTTCACCGGAGGTCTCACTCTACGGGATGCCGTGAATAACTATACCCAGGAAGTGACTGAGCCAGGAGAGGATCATGGGGTGTGGCACCCACGCCTGTGGCTATATCCTCATCACACACGCTCTCACTCACTCTCCTGCTTCTTCAGGCAGGGTTTTCTCCAAGTCTCTTTTCTTGTTTTTGTTTGAAGCAGTGCATAATTTTTACCACTGTCTCTTGAGAAGAATCAAATTGAACACAAATTGAATTTAGATTGGACTCATAATTTATTTTATGTTCTTGCACACTGTCTTGCAGGCTCTGTGAGTCATAGTCTTGGGTTTAAATTGGGCAGATATCATCATCAAGGCAGGTGGGCCACATTCTTGAAGATGAACAGCCATTTAGGATGAGTCAAATCAGACTTCTCAAAAAACGTCTGCTCCAACCAATCATGAGGTTTTGTTAATCACATGGTACTGCACACGAGCGACCGTTGTAGGAATGATGGTGGGTTGTGTTCTCCACTGGTGGGGTTAGCCCTTATCGTCCAAAAAATTCAGTAAACAACTTGGTGATTAACTGTGGGTTGTTTGCTCTCATGCACATTCGTTCTCTTACCTTGAGGGTCGCTTTGCTGGGAGACGCCTGGTCCGCAAAACAGCTGAGGAAGAGCTGGGCCAGCTGGAGGGCGAAGTAGGAGAAAAAAGCCAAGTAACGGACGATATCTGGAGAGAGCCCCTGAAACAGAGAGACAGCTGGTTCAGGAATAGCAGGCTAATGAAGGGAGAGAGAGAGACAGGGACTAAGAGAGAGACAGACCAGCAGACTCTACTCTATAGTTACAGTTCAGGACTTCCCATAATTTTGAGTTTTTCTTCTCAGTGTGCAGTCACAGACATCCCATAATGCAATGTTTACTGTCTATAAACTGATCTAAACAATCAATGGAAGATTGATGAAAGTAAAGCCCAGAGTATGAAAAGTATGAAAAAGACGACGGTCAAAAATATTTTACAGTGCAATACAAGGTCAATTTGACAATTACAGCAACATAACACTACATGTTTAAATACTATCTGTTCTAAATACACTTTTCCAAATAGATTTTTCAAATGGCATACAGTGATTACTATAGTGTATTATATGGAAACAGCGTTCACTAATTTTAACTGTCCCTTAGATTGATCAGTTTTTAATCCTAATTTAACACATCTGATTCAGTTCCTCAAGACTTCAGAAGCATCTTGATGTGAGAATCTGGTGGATGTGATTAGAGTTGCAATGAAAATATTGCAGAAGAGTCGCCACAAGCTGAACTAATGTAGAATCAGTTAGGTAGTGCTATTGCTGCAGATATTTAATTAAACCTGTGTTCTATGTTGATAAACTGTCTATTGAAAACTATATATATATTCGTTTTTTTTTACAATGTTAGTGTTGCTTTCACCTTTTTGGCCTGCAGTGTGAATAACATTTATACTTTTATATTAATTTTATATTAAATTTTTTTAACATTTACATTAATATTTAATAACATTTTAATGTCCCTCTATGGACGATACTGAGTCTTATGTATTTGACCTTGGGAGTTCAAAGTTAAATCTATTTCTTAGCAACATGAGCTAAAAATCTTCCTTCCTAAGGAAGACTGGTAGGTATTTTTGTGTTTAGTGTTTAGTGATGTCAGGACACACACTGATTACTCATGAAGAAGTATATAATTGTAAATTTGGCACCCAGTATATCATAAGAAAGTGCGCAGTAGCCTATAGAGCCGGCTCTCCAGACTATGAGGCTGCCCGAAGGAGGAGGGCAATGGGTGTGCACTGGCATTAATGGCACCATAAATCTTATTTTGAACAGTTAAGGCAAATCATGGTGAAAACCAAAGTCTTTAATGGTCTGCTTTATATAAATGAATTACGCATGAAAAGAATTGTAAACACTTAGAGTCACGCTACGATCTGGAAATGCATAGACTGTGGTTCTGGGAGCCAGCAGCTTCTGTTTGAGGAAGCAGAGGAGGCGAATACATGTTATTTACCAGCTCCATATGCCATTCATATGTGATTATAAACACGACACAGGGACTAAGTTTACCTTCCAGCCGTAAGCCTGCACCATGCTGGGAAAAGGCATGCTTACTGCACCAGAGCAAAGCATGTGTGAAATAACAAACCAATAGTAAACATCCGCCCGGGCCGAGAGGTTCTGCGCCAGGATCCAAGCTATATTCTTCCCCCCGCCACAAAACAAAACAGGGTCAGCTTTGGTTTGAGCGGTCACAAAATATAGGTCAGTCAAACTGTCTGCCTCCTTTTTTCCTTCTTATCCAAGCAGAAAGTCAGCTTTTAGCAATGCAGTGAAAAGAAAATTGCTTATCTATCCTAACGTTATAACTTTTGACCTAGTTTTTATGGAGAGAAGTGATGCAGGTCTAAAACTGCAAGCTCAGGTTTCTAAAGCAATCAAAGCTTTATCAAGATGTTTTCACTGGACCCCAGCTGGTCATTAAGTAAACATAAGTTATTTGGAAAGATGTAATTTGACATGGTTAATATAATAACTGTCCCATTACTGTAATATATTGTATACTGGCGCATACAAAGTACTAATATTAGGGTGCAGTGCAATAAGCAATATGCCACTGCAGAATCCCTAACTGCATATTTCTGCAAATTTGACACTGTGGTCATGCCAAGCCTGATACTATACATGCATGCTGTCACTGAAGTGGTCCATTGGTGGTAAACAGATTGTACACATACAGATTGTACTTATTTATGTTGGCACCCTCTCACAAATCTAACATATGCTGACAAATTTTCACACTAGCATATTTATGTACTCTACTGTAGTCCATATATTCATATGACAAACCATAGAAAACGCAAAAGTGGGGCAAACTAACAGTGGCCTTAAAAATAGCTCCCACAAAAATTCTCTAACCAGAGTCTGTTTGTGAACGTGTCAGCATTTTTGTATGTGTGTGTGCCAAAAATATATGTGTGCTTGCGCATGTGTATGTATGGTATATGTATAATAGATCTGTGTGCTGGTGCATGTGTGTGTGTATTTTTGTGCTTGCTTGTGTGCTAAAAGAATTTCCCTCTGGGATTAATAAAGTGATCTATCTATTTATCTTGTGTGTACATTTTTTCAGCAAATGTGTGTATGTATGTGTGTGTATGGATCTGAGCAGTGTTGGGAGTAATGCGTTACAAAGTAATGTAAAACACATTACAGTAGTATATATATATATATATTTTTTACTGTAACAAAATAGTGTAATGCATTACAGTTAAAGTTTTGGTAAATACATTACAGCTACTGACTTCATAAGAATTTCTCATCTATCTCTAAGAGAACAAAGTTAATTAAAAGTAATGCATTTAAAACAGAAATTTCCTCTATGTAGATTTTCCATGCCCCGTGTTTTTTACAATTTGCGTGCATGTGAGATACCTGCAAAGGCTGTCTGTGCAATTTTGATTGTGAATATGAGCAGCGCGAACACAGATTTGTCTAAATGAACGAATAAATAAACAATAACTGCATAAAGTCTGTCTGTGTGTTAGCTTTCTATTTCTAAAGCTCTCTTTAAGCAATCCTAGTATTTACAGTTACCATCCAATACCTAGTTTGTCTAATCAATCCTGCATTAAATTAAATCACACACTGTTGATGGAGTTTAACAAATCCTTGCTATAATTGAAGTGGAAGTCAGGAACCAAACTGTATTCTTTCAACCAACATATCAATAACTTTTTTTTAAAAAACAAAACAATTCTTGTTATGGTTTCATGTATTTTTGTTTAGTACGTGCTATAATGTTTTATCGTGTTTATTACACAAAAAATCAAACTGACTGTCAAGGTAAACAGTTTTAAACTATTTCCGTGGCTGCTCAAGAGTTTTGCATGGAACCGTATATGCATGTGAACTATTGTGTGTGTGTGCAGGTATCTGTGAGCCAATGTCTGTAAACATAAGTATGTGTGTGTGTTTGAGGGTTTTAGTAGAGGAGTGTGAAATGGGTGCCTCAGATTGGGGGCCTGTGTCAGTGTCATTTCTCTCACCTGTTCGACGGCCAGCTGGATCTTGGCCCTGAGGGGCACTAGAGAGCAGACCACGCCCAAGAGCCAGTAGAGGAAGAGCACCACAGAGGAGCGGCAGCCTCGCACTCGCTCCCACTGGATGATACAAACTGCCAGCACCTGACAAACACACCACCGCCGGTTAGTGACACAACCCACATGGTCATTTCTGAAACCTTTGCGCAGCTTCAGCCAAAAGTTTGTACACACCTACTCAGGAGTCAGCTGGCATGTTTTTCCAACAGGCCTGCTGAAGTTCCCATATTTGCATGTAAGGGCATTTCAAAAATGATTTTTTACACTTTTTGTTTTGGTAATAAATTCATATATATTTTTCAACTTCACTATTTACATTTGTCTTAGAAACAATTTTTAAAGCACAGATAAGTCTTTAGATGACAATGTCTTTAAGTCTGCAAAAAAAACATTCAATATATAATATATTTGGGGGGCTGTCGTGGGCTGGAGGTTAGGGAACCAGCCTTGTGACCGGAAGGTTGCCGGCTCGATCCCCTCAGCTGACAGTATGTGACTGAAGTGCCCTTGAGCAAGGCACGTAACCCCCAACTGCACCCCGGGCGCCGTGGATAGGGCTGCCCACCGCCCTGGGCAAGTGTGCTCACTGCCCCCTAGTGAGTGTGTTCACTAGTGTGTATGTGGTGTTGCACTGCACGGATGGGTTAAATGCGGAGGTCTAATTCGGATGTGTTCAGACACAGTTGGCTAAAGGTTCATTCATTCATATGTAATCATCTTTGTTCAAAGTTTGACTAGTACTGTACATTAAAATAATGACAACTGCATTGGGCTAATATCAGCAGAAAATGCTTGAATGGATATTGAAAGGAAAAAAAAGAATGCATGTGATCTAATCCTGTAACAAATCTACCCTGAAACATACACTGTGATGTTGTTAGCTGTGTACTTTTTCCTGTAGGGTAGTAGAGTATTTGAATAGTTTGAGCAGGATAGCCTACTTCCAGATACTCATTTTAAAAAAGAACCTAAGTAGGTTAATCTCAGTCTTATGGGCACACAACATATATGTACAAAGTATGTCCTGTGAATATCTTTTCAATGTCCACTAAATAATCAATTTATTTTTGTCAAAATTGTCCTCTTTCAAAATTGGGCAGTCCTAATCTTGGGTCACACATACATAAGCAGTATTCTCACCGATCTCAAGGGTGAAGTAAGTTGTGCTGCCCACACAGCTTTGACAAAACTGTGTTCCCCCACAGTCTCTCTGTATTTGAGAAGGAGAAACTAACAACTAAGCAAAAGCTAGCCTAGCAAGCATAACTGAGTGATCAAACTTGCTCATCTGTCTGCCTGTCTAGCTCATCTGTCCATTCATCCATTCGCTAGTTTAGCTGGCTACGCCAGCATTCCGTGGATGCTCTTTCTGCAGTACAGTGATTAAGAACCTTACCTTTTTTAAGATGTTGCCATTTAAAAGCTGAATAATGGTTTTTAGAGAGTCATTTGCACAGTAGGGTCTACAACACCACCTGTATCGGTATAGCTTGCTTCACTTTTTTACACCTGCTCATGCTACTGTGTTTAGTTCTGCTTCATTGATGTTGCAGGATAGGAGTGTTGGACTAGGGGATATTAATCATGCATGCTCATTAGAATATTAGGCCGATGTCCAGATAGCTCTCAGACTGGTCTGATATCCAGTTTGTAAGCCATGTTTTATTATATTTCTATTTATTTTTTTCTAGAAACTCACACTCAATTTTAGTATAATAGAAACAATTTTTCACGGTGGTCCTTGGGACATTCAATGAAGTACGTCTATTAAAATAACTAATTGTAAAGCTCAGCGGTTTTTAAAGAAAAAAAATATCAGATCACTATTAATACCGACCAGTACTCAAAACTTCAGTATCAGTATCAGAAAAGTTGTATTATGACTCTCTTATAGTAATGTAATGTGCTTTAAAACCAAAAGAACAACACATCTTTATATGGATTTGTATCAGCCATGTGGCCATTTGGAGCACATACTGTACAGTCACAGTCCATACAGGAGCAACTGAGCTGCCAAGCTAGGTTGGGTAAATTCTCCAGAGTGACTTGTTGAACATTTCAGCGAGAGACAGTGAATAAAATGTGTTTAGTAAATGAAATACCACTTTTGTAGAGTTCTGGTCTTTTTTGTTTAAAAGTGGGCATTACACTTGGTTGTGCATGGTGGTACCCTTATTATGAGCAAGGGTCAGGTCCTCCTGTAAATAAACTGCAGTCTGTATTTTTGCTTGGTTAGTCATGCATGAGTTTATACTGGGATTTCCCCTTCTACCACAGCAGCTGCTTCATGAAAAACCTCCTTAATAAAACATATGTATAACATGGGCTTTAGTTGATTTGGCATTTCACTTAATTGCCTTTTCTTTTCTCTGTCCGAAAAACACTCGACATCCTCCATCTCACCAAAACCAGACTGACGTTCAGTTGTGCTCATCTAATACCAAACTGGCTGTGGTGTTTTGAGAATATCTGTTCCCTCTAAGTTTAGAGAAGACATCGTTTGTCACAGCATCTCCTAGGCAGCGGAAAACACCATTGGATTACGTAATGCAAGGCCTCCTGGGCAGTTGAAGATCAAGCTTAGAGTTATTCCTAACGACGCCTCTTCCAAAACCAAACTGCAACCTTCTCCAAACCAAACCAAAGGCTTCTAACCTAACCTCAGAACGTTTCTGGGAATTTTCTAATTGCTTGATCTTTTCAAGGACACCTAACTACCTAGATACAAAACACAAAAACTACACACAAGTGCAAATATCATCAAACACACTAATGTGTGTTTGTTTTTTTTTTCTTTGCTTTGCAACTGCCTTGTAATGGGAGGTAATGGCTCGTCTTCTGGAGTGTGGGAGGAAGCCAAAGCACCAGTTAAGCCTCAGACGTGGTGCCCACCTAGTAATCATACAGGGAAAATGCTGAGTGATCTGCATTATTTGGTTCTTGAATATATAGCTGGTGATGCACCAACAGGCCAGCTTATGGTAAGAGAATGAATGGCCCACTCAAACCTGGCTGTGTAATAGACTTTGGCCTGGTTACTGTGATCTTTTCTTTTTTTTCCTTAAAGAGCTTAAGGTCGGGACACTGAGACAGGAGGCTGATCTTAGTTCAGCATGGAAGGGCAGCTGTTGCTCATAGATTCCCTCTCAGTGGCTGAGAGAGGCAGATAAACACTCTGGTTTCGGTCGAACTGTGTGGTTGTTGTTGCTTTCAGCTCGACCGACCTCTTGATTACATAAGCCCAGATATTACGCAAGGAAAAACCATAGGTGGTAAAGAAGGGCAAGCAGGGCACAAACGAAGTATTTTCAAAGTTTTAACAGCAATATTTGTGTGCACAGTTAATAATTCACCCAAGTTTTTCTGACCCATATCCTTGAGCATGGTTCGCTATGACTACTGTCCTGGCATTTATTTTCCCAGTTGAACAACTGAGATTACGATCTTTTGATGAGAGGGTATTTGGGGACAGAAGCAATCTGTTTAACTCCTTCAGTGTTTTTCTCCAAGCTCAAGTCCAGTGTTGACTTAGGTGTCTGGGAAGACCACAGATAGGGCAAGAGTCTGGGCTGAAGGCTGTCTCTGCAGGATGCAAATGGCCAGGGAAGACTTGTGGCATTGTGAGTGGCTCTGTGGGCTGTTGTGTCCCCACACCACTCACCTCCACACCCAGAAAAACTTACATTTTTCAGTGTCACCCATGGCTGGATAAACATACTTTTTGCTGTGTCAGGTTCCTGCTTACGTAGCCATGTGAAGTTATAAATGTTAGGAAAACATGTGAGAAAGAATAAAATCCACTAAAGCACTTAATAGGCTGCATATATCAGTGGCCTATATGTGACATTGTATTTCACACATTTTCGCACAATTCTACACTTCCATATCATCATTAGTGGTAGTGGTTAAGGTCAGCGCTTTAATGCTCAGAAATGAAATGACTCTTACACAAGTTACAGTCTGAGTATTATTGCTATACAGTCACTGCCCACTTCATTAAATCTTATAAAGCCTGTCTTGTAGCACCAGCTGGTGTACCATTACAAACTGTAGCGTATCTTTTGTCATGTAAATTTGTGTGCCACCCTCTGGCCTTTCATCTGTGGTCAGTAATCTGCAGAAACAGTCAAGCAGGTAAATGCTGTGTCTACATACTGCTATTGAAAAAAAACAAAAAAAACATTGTTTTGCTTTACTGCAGAAAGTTAAACACTGCAGAAAGTTACACAACCAACGGCATGCAGACGTATAAACGTTGCCATGGTGATAGTGTCTGAAAATTGATCTAAGGTGTGCTTTGGTGGTCCCTTATTTGTTTAAGCTGGAATTAAAGGCACAAGGATGCATGAACTCAGCACCTTTGAGGTTGTATTGTATTATAAGAACATTTTTTTGCCTTCGAGTTGCATTTGGGAGGTACTAGGCTGGTTTCCCTGTAGCTACGCCCCTGCCTGATACACTCATACCAGCGCCACCCACATGTTAGTATCAATCTTGTGCTGACAGTGGTACACCACCCATATAATATGTGGTCAACAGTGGTCCCGTGGTCAGGAACTGACTAATGACGAAAGGGGTAGAGGGCGGCAGACAAATTGTGCATATCAACAGAAAGTCTACAGTCTGTAATTGTACACCTATTTAGTGAACTTATCAAAAAGTGGCCAGTGAATGTAAGCACAAGTTAGGGGTGTTTCTGTTAAATTGGACATTGAATGTATTTGCAACAGTATTGTACACGCTTTCAACTATAATCGATAGCATTTTTACACTGTTGCTGTAATGGTGTAATGGACTGTACATTACCACAGTAAGGCTGCGTATGACAGGGCTCAGGAGAAAGACGAGGTGGCGATGGATCTCTTGGTTCCGCTCCAACAGTATGTAGAAGAATTCCACAAAGCCAAAGGATGCCAAGAAGAACCCCAGCAACTGTAGGAGGACAGACAGGAACGGAACTCAGACCTGGGTGAGATCTCGCCTGAGTCAGCCTTCCGGAAATGTCTTTGGTCACTGACTACACCTCTGAAGTAGATTTATGCACTTAGATGAGAAAGATAGCCATCGTGGGAGGCAATGGCTCTTAACCCTTTGAGATGAAACCTAACAGTGACTTTCCTCATGTGATTTAAGAACCATAAAATCGCAAATCCCCATGAACAAAATGTATATTTTGGGTAAACATATATCTAAGGACATTCCAAACATGCTAAATTTATTTTACTCCACTGAAAATGTTTAACATCTCAGCTTTATTGGGAACAATATATCATAGAAAAGAGTTTACTTTTTATGAGTTTACTAGTTTATGAGTTTTAGCTTTTGAGATTTAGAAAAATCAGTTGGCTTATTTAATTTTAGTTGCACTTTATTAAGATATGTTGCCAAAAGTGAGTAAGAAAAGTAAGAAAACAGCTTTGGAAATCAGCCATTAGGACAGCCAAGGAAAAAGCCTAACCTCACATTTATTTTAATAACTCTGATGTCAAAAGGTGTGGAAATGTACTACTGGTTGGGGTTTACAGAAAAGCTCTGTGAATAAGTTTCATAAAAGTATAAAAATTGGAGAACAGAGGGCACATATACATTGCCACAATCTGGCTCAGACTAGTAGAACCAACTGTTGGATTTTATCAGCATAAATGTAACAATGGCTTCTAGTTCCTTCTAACAACAGCAAACAATCAAATTCTAGAAACGTCCTGGGAATTCTAGAACCCCAACCAAAAAAACACTCACTCCTGGAAGGATTGAATGGATGAACAACTGTGTACACATGTAGCAATAGGATTTGATAGTAGCAAAGCAAAAATCTGTGTCACTTCTCAGCGAACTCAAACAAGCACCAGTATGCTACTCTCACCCACAAGCTCTTGTGGTGCAGGGCTCCTCTCCCAAATCTTAACCTCTCCCTCTCCCTATTAAGCCTGAAACCTATCCCTGAGCAGGGCTGTTGGAATGCTGAAAGCACTCATATAATACTGAGCATTTGGATAGCTTAGTTTATTTGTTCCTAGCTGTGGAACTGGAGCATCCCTGCCATGAACATTTTTGTGTTTTCCCTGCTTCACTTCAACTTTGGAAGGGCTTGTTAATTAGCTGATTTGTTGGGCCAGGTCTGTTAGAGCATAGACAACACCACAATATGCAGGGCAGGGATACTTGAGAACCAGGGATGGGAAATGCGGAGATAGTGAATAATCATTGCCATGTGCAGGTAAAATTAAAGGTTTGATTCCCCATCCCGGCAGCTATACCAACAAAGCTCCTTGGCCTTGACTCCTAAAAACCCAAAGGTATCCGGCAAACCAACAAATTTAAACATTAGGTTGGCGTGCCATACCTGAGTGTGTTCTCCCATATTCATATTAGTTGATTTGGCTTGTCAGCTCTAATTCTGGAACAGTAAATAGCCATCTACCGACGTTAGAATGCAGGTGTTTGTTAGTGTCCTAGGGGCACAATGCCACATTTATATGGAACTGTAAGTCATTAAGTCATTCTGAACAGAAGTGTCTGTTAAATGTAAATGTTATCATTGCTCCTGCCTTACCAGCTTGGCACTGCAGAGTAGTGAGAAGGGCAGCCGGTCACGACCATGACAGTAAAGATGCAGGCAGTAGAAAGGTGAGCAGACCCACAGATAGATGCAGGGGGCCCATACCAGTACCGTGTTCTGGAAGCAGTCGCTCAGCTCAGGGGTGTGTGTGTACCATGTCTGATTCCAGTCCTGGAAGATAAGGAGAAAGGACCGGTTAGGACTGGTGAAGTAGAAAGCTTCCTCATATCATCACATACCATCATGGTTTCCATTACTTTTTGGCCATTCAGTAAAGCTCATTTTATTGTAATTGATTTTTCAAATATTTTAATTACTTCTCAAGTGCATTTTCTGTACATACAAGTACAGCTGAACTGTGTATAGCCATTGCTAACGCCTCAGTTTGAATGGTGATTTTCAACAGGTTGCATCACATTGGGTCCAACCGATTGTTTTCTCAAATTATAAGACAAACAAAACCGCACCGGTCATCACTGAGCTCCTCTCATCCTCTAAGGAGAGAGAAAAGAGTTTTGAATCCACATACAGACTCAATCTTTTCAATCTGAATACGCTAGAACTTTTAGGGTTATGCTGAAGACACTAACTGTGTTGTCCCAAACTGCTACCTTTGTTTAAGGTAGTGGTACAATGCTGTCCAGGAAACGCTGATGGTTAGATAGACTTGCAGATCATGTGTTATTGGGTTTTGTCCATTTTCATCACTCCATCTGCTGTTGAACTAACAGGGCACAAAAAGCTCTAGACTGTCAATGCTGTGATGCCGTAAAATGCTATGTACTACATATTATATTCAAGAAACTGTACTTTTAATTGTTACTAGACAGTACAAAATTCCACTTGTATTCAAGCATCCATATTTTATTTCTATTTTGATTTTTAAACAATGCAACACTGAAGTTAACATGATACACAATTCTGGCATTACGCTAATGCATTTGAATTTAATCTGACCAGACGCTTATGTGGATCACGTGGCAAAATGTTTGATATGTATGGTAATACAATTTAAAAGCAAAACAATATTTCTGAGAATGTGAAATGATCCACTATAGGCAAACGGAAGGCAATCCTTTTCATATTTCATGTATGGATGCAATCTCTGGCAAAAAAAAGCATCCATATTTTAAAATATTGAACCTGTTAATTTAAGCAATAAAATTCACACTTTGTGTTTCACTAACCTTACACATAAAATCTTCTACCAACTCTAAATTCGGACCAGGAAAACAGGTGGTGAGCCTTATATGGTCACTGAATAAAACATGAGAAACTATACAGCACGTGACTATAGAGGAACATATGTCACTAGCTACATATAATCACATTATATGTAGATAGATGAAATTCTGGAGTTGACACTGAGATTAAATCACATGAAGAAAAGAACAATAGACAGGACATAACTATACTTCAAAAGGTGATACAATCAATATACAAATATTTGATCCAACTTTTGTGGACAGATTTGGATGCTTCATTTCTCCTAGTCACTCACCCAGAGAGGGTCTAGGCCACTGAGGCTGCAGAAAGTATCCATTCACTCTCGTGGTCCTGAAGCTGTCACGCTCTCTGGCTTTCTCTGGCTTTTGGCGGCACTATTCTGTTACTCAGCACAGGATGCGGGTGTGCAGGACCGTGTGAGTCCAAGTCTCGCTATGTGAATGAACGGCCTTTAAGGGTTCTTCGCCTCTCCCTGTCCCATGCACCTTGTCACTGAGAGCTCCTTGTTTCTGAGGCTGTCTGGAAGACGCTCCGTTTTATGACTGCCAGTCGTTTTGCCAGCCACTTAGGTGGGTGGTTATATTCCCTCTCTCTCTCTCTCTCTCTCTCTCTCTCTCTTTCTTCTCCCTCCTCCCCAATCTCACTCTCACCATTCACCCAATCCTTCTCTCTCCCTCTCTTTCTCTCTCCCTCCCACTCTTTCTCTCTCTCTCTCACTTCCTTCAACTTTCTTTTTTTCTTCCTTCTCTCTCTCTCTCTTGTCTACCTCTCTTTGACTTTCTCTCTCTTTCCCTCATTCAAAAACACAAATTCTTAGGACATTTACAAAAACAGCAGTATATAAAAGTGATTCTTTAAATTTACTTGATTCTAATGTCTATTATTTCCAGATGAATAAAATGCTTCCAAAGAATTACTGCCAAGGATTGTAAACTGAACAACAAAGTTGTATTAGCATAATATATTTGATCAGTGTAGATATGGTATACACACTTGAAGTAAATGTATTGCATCATTTATTATTAGTGTACTGGCCACCTAGTCTCACAAGCCAGACATTTAGGGGGGGAGATGTTCACCCAATTTTCTCCCGATTTTAGCTGTAGCAAATTCCATTCACTACCTAGGATCATCATGATGTTACTAAGCTGGGACAGTGAAGGCTTCCTCCGGGACAGCTCAACCTCATTCAGCACAATTGGAGGAGGACTCTAGCTGCCAATTTTGTTGTGTCAGCTAACAGCTAACAGAGAAATTAAGCTCTTTCTGGCCTGAACGGCTATGGCATCGCTGGAGATCAAATTCAAAAAGTCAGATATCTGACTGTTTTTAGATAGTCTGATGGGTTTCATTACTCAGTCTGGCCAAGAACTGCCTACTTTGACCAGTAAGGACCATTTGACTGACATGTACAATAACCAACCACAGACCAATGTTTTTAAGTGATGTGTAGCTGTATGCGATTCTTCAAACAAGGCTACAACAAAAACAGGCCCACATGCAACAAAGTGGTATGCACAAGGGTATCTTATTTATTAGGCAGAATATTCTTCAAACAGGCTCTTCAATAACTTTTAAAGATGTTATGCTATTAACTACACAAAACATTTACACTCCAGCAATCCAGGGGTGGGTGATAAAGGAAAGTTAACATCATGATACTTCTTGACATTTTTACGATAGACAATATATATTATGATGTCTTGTTTTTCTGATGTTTGATACAGTGCACACATTTTGGTACAGACTAAAAAGCCCTAGTTGTGTCTAAAAAACTGCATACAATATTTTTTTTGTTGTTTTACATACTGCAGAACAGTAAATCTAATTTAACAGGTGTAATTATGCTCTCTTTTGAATGAAAAATGTATCTGACAAAATTCCAATAATAGTTTTGTGGTCATTTTAGTATACAACAGACAATCTGTGTATCTTTGTGGGCGAAGCTTCCAAGGCTGAAACTATGACCAGACCAACTGACAGCAGTCTACCTTATCCATCTCTTCAAATAGCACTAGGATAAACAAAAAAGACCTTTACATTTTGTTATAAACAGAATGTCCAATCACAGTACAATTTATCCGTCTAGCACATCATAGGGAACACTTGTGTTAAAGAAAAAAATAATCATTTTGTGGTGAGAAATGCCACTAACCCAACCTCACACACACACACACACACACACACATACAACACCTTTGCATGAACAGACTGGCACTACTGAAGCAGACAGACAGGTTGATATTATGACTGTCTCTTTTGAAGCTCTCAGTAGTCTGCTATGAGGTAACATCAGTCCAACAGATGCTAGTCCAAAGTCCTGGAAAAGCCATGCCTGGCAGCGGAAAGTATTAGGCTGGCCTTGGCCCGAGACCGGCAGCTAAGACATGGAAAAAACGATAGACGCACGAGCCCTTTCACACTGCCCATGTGAATCCATGTGCTGCAGCAAAGGAAATATTTACAATTCTGTCCATCAGCGTGTGCAGATGTCTGTGGATCCCAATTAAATCACATATCTTCCTTGGACCGGACATGTCAAAAATAGCTTGTTTTGTGCAATAATTCTTAATGGATTGATTTGTAGGCCTATTTTTTTCATTGAAATCTGCAGAACAACTGCAGCTGACTTACAGCCGCAGAGTTAGAAGTCTACAGAACCTATGCTGAACCAATGTAATTTGGCAAAGAATTTCAATGTAGAATGAAGATAGATATGAGGATTCATCACTGCTGTAAAAAGTCATGAATCTAGTTCTAAGGTGACTTTAACTTGTGGTCTGGTTGACCTTTGCCAAAACAACCTGCCCTGCAGCAACCAAATCTCGAGCCTTTGGAATACATTAGCTGGCCTGGTGTCAATGGGCTGAACATCATGCAGTAACCCGGAGAAGTACTTAACAGAGGGAAATAGTGGTAAGAAGCAGTGACAACTATAAACCGTCAACAAAATGCTATCTCAGTGCAGGAAACAACACACAAACATTCATAAACAGGTGTTTTCTGGGCCAGCCATTTTTTTGGGCAAACACAAGTGACTTGGAGTAAGCAAGAACTGATGCAATACGCACAAACCATGCAAGACAAACCGTCTTGCCAGGTGTTCAGCCATGGTTTTAGAATTGTTTCCAGAACCACTCACTGCATAAGGCTATACTACCTTTCAGAAGACCTTCTTGAGACATTCCCATGCCTATTGTGGCCACTCAGGACCTTCTTAAGTCCTTCGTACACCCAGTGCACATTCATGACTTTCTTAGGACCTTCATTAACTTTCTTAAGACTTTCATAAGCTCAGTGAATTCATTCAAGACAAAAAACATTTTCTAAAGACTTTATTTTCTTGTGTGCACTGAAATAGGCAAAAACTGACAACAGCAGGGGTCTTCTAGGCTTAGCCTAACATATGTGGAGGCAGAGACTCTGAACATGCTCTCAGTCTTTTATCAGAGGAAAGTTCTTAAAAAGGCCTTTAATTTTTCCTGATGAGTTTTGCTGATTGAGTGCACCTCCTACACCTGAACTTGATGGCCCCAGAGATCTGCAGCCTCCAGTCAACAATTGTCACTAATGGATCGTAATCGTCTTGTCACCTCAGATTTAAAGGGCCCTCTTATGGTGGAGTGTAAACAATAGGAACGTAGCATTACCCTGCCAAAGGCACTATAGAGAGAGATGAATGGAGGCATTCTTGGTGGCTAACCATGAAGCCACCAGGGGTTTGACTAACTGGCTCTAGACAACAGAGTGACCATGTTATTATGTCTGCAGCGGCAGAGCAGAGTGCTTACGGGAGGAGGAACTGCAAAAGAGATGCCACACGCTGCTACTTGGCAATAACATGGAACTAGGGGCCTTTGCCATTTCCCCGGAGGGGGTAGTTATTTACACTGAGCAGTAGCTCGGGCTTCTGAAACAACAAACAGCTGTCCCAACATGCGTAACTCAGATGCTTTATTCTGAGATGACACTTAATCTTACTCACTGATCAAGACCAGACCACTAAATGTAGGAGTCCCAGCTTCAGTCTTAAGGATGCACTGTCCTGCACTGTTTAAGGGCACGGATGCATCAAGACGACTGTCCTCCACTGGATGGCATCAGGTAGATGCTGAACATTGGTGGTCAGCCATCACCCATAGTCTGTTTGTCCCACACTGTTGACTCTGGTTGGCTCTTGTCAGTGCTGTTTTAGCCAATCAAGCATGTTGAAATAGCAGTCGGCCGCTAGAGAGAGCACATGAGGAGAGAAGTGAAAGAAAACAAAGCAAGCAAACGCCACTCTCAAGAAGGCACATAGAATGAATAGCCTGAGTTTTCAACAACAACGCAAGTAGCAAAGTTTTATGACTAGGGATGGGTACTGTAACCATTTTTGCCAGTCAAATGTCCACATTTTCAAATGAGCAGTATGTGCTTGACTATTGTATTCCCAACAAGAAAATATTTAATATTGTTAAGAATAAACACAGACACCCACACGCTCTGAATGCCCTATGATAACACACTAACATAAAATAAGGCATTGAGATACTCAGTCACATCGTGAACTTTTCGGAATATGCACCAACTGCAAATATTATTTTGCTGTTTTCACTGTAGCCTAGTGCTCTGTGATTTACTTTCACATTCATGCAATCAAAAAAAAATGGACAGGGATAAAATAAGTCAACATAAATCAAATAAACTGTTTCTTTTGACTGCCAGATAGCAAATTGTGTTTCATCACTCCAGATAGCAGGTTTCCACTGCTTCAGAGTACAGTGGCAGCATGTTTTACACCTCTCCAGTTGACGCTTGACATAGCACATAGTAATCTTAGGCATGTGTGCAGCTGCCTGGCCATGGAAACCCATGTCATGAAGCTCCCGGCGCACAGTTTCTGTGTCAATGTTGGATCCAGAGGCAGTTTGGAAATGTGTAGTGAGTGATGCAACAGCGGAAATGTGATTTTCCTGCAGTATTTCGCTGCGAGCCTACACAGTCCACCGCTTTGTGGCTGTTGTTGCTCCTAGACGCTTCCATTTCAAAATAATAGCACATACAGTTGACTTGGGCAGATCTAGCAGGGAGGAAATTTCAGTACAAAGAGCTCCTCAGTACTACCCATTCTACCACCACTGTTTGTCTATGGAGATTGCATGGCTATGTGCTTGATTATATACACCTCTTAGTAATGGGTAGTGTAGTATAGCCATATAGTGTATAGTGTATGGTTGTCAGCTGTAGTCTACGAAAATTTTCATAGCACAGGAAAAGTGATGGTGAACTAACACAAAGCGATGTTCAGTTGGCCTTAGTTGGTCCTAGTTCTTCCTCATCGGATTGGTATGTCTATGCCCTAAAGAACATGTGACCCTGTACTGTTTATTTTTCCTAACTCAACACACCTAAGCTCATTAAGGGCTTGATAATTACAGCATCTGATCAGTTGGAGCAGGTGTGTGGGGGCAGGGAATGCTTGAAATTGTGCAGGGTGGTGGGTCCCCAGGACTGGAGATGAAAATCCCTGAGCTAAATAACAGCCTAAATAATGGTCAGTTTGCTGCAATAAGGTGGACCAACTTATTCTACATATTTTCATATCTGAACAACTTGTGTTTTGCAAAAGTATATAGCCCA